ATGTGTCTCTGGGTGTCTGGGTCATTGTGTGTGTGAATGTGTGTGTGAGGGGAGTGTGCGGTGTGTGTCTGGGTCACTATGTAAGTGTGTGTGTCTGTGTGAGAGGGAGCGTGTGGGTGTGTTTGTGAGAGTGTCTGTGAGTGTCTGGGTCATTACGTGAGTGAGTATGTGTGTGTCTGTGTGAGAGGGAGCGTGTGGGTGTGTTGGGAACTTTAGTGATCTAAGGCTAGACAGGAAGCGACCAGGTAGGAGTCCACCCCCGCCTTTCCTGAGGACGGGATGGAAGGCTGGGACCCTCTAGCGCTGGAGCAAGCGGGGCTCCCGAGCGCTCCCCCGCCTGCGTTACTCCTGGGGCTGCCGAGGCTTTCCTGTGGCTGAACCTGTAACCGAGGGCCTGGGGCGCTAGGAGTGGGTGAAGGGCTGGCAGACAGCACTGATGCGGCCTCCTCTTTGATCACACACAGTCCAGATTTTCCAAAGCCGGTCAGGGGCCCAGCCCAGGGAAGTCCCTGGCTAGGAGTGGCAGGGAGTGGAGGCCAAGTCACTGACAGTGGCTTCTGGGTGGGAGAAGTAGGAGGGGCCCGGGAAGAGGGAGCGGGAGAGGGCATGGGGGGCCGCTGGAGGAGGGTTGCTCTCGGGGCTGGTCAGGGTTTCCCAGGATTAGAAAACGCTCGGGTCCCCATGGGTCTGCCTCCCTCCGGGGCTGCGCCCGGCCAGCTGACCTCTTCCCACGCCAGGAGGACAACAAGGGGCAGGGTTGGATCTAAACCCAGATGGGCTTGACCTCCTGACCTGGAGACAGGGAGGTCAGAAGGAGAAGAGCTGGCGCAGGGGAGGCCGGGGCTCCTGGAAACTGTGGGAGGGGCCTGGCGAGGCCACATAGGCCGGGAATGTCCCCCAGTGTCACTTTGCCCTTTGCTCTCTTCCAGTGGTGCCCGAGAAACCCTAAAGTAACAGGCAGGTCCAGGCACTCAGGAGAAATAGTTGGGATGGGGAAAGAGGAAACCAGGAAAGACCTTTTAGGCCAGGCAGTTCCGAGCACACAGTTTGTAAGGTTCCTCTACCGCTCTAGGCCGTGGGGTCCTCGCAGGAAATAGGAGATAAACAGCCCCTGCCACCCAATAGGATTGATGACCACAGTTATCATTGCTGCTTCATTCGTGCCAGGCCCTGTGGCGTTTCCCGTGCCCCGCCCTGTGCACTGGGCACAGTTCTAGCCTTCACATCATGGAAGCGGAAACAGGCGCAGAACGATCACAAGGGCTGGGATCTAGGCCTGGATCTGTCTGATCCAGAGCCCACACCCTAACCCTTGCGGGACTTGCCTCTCGGAGGAAGGGCTATTGTGGGTATATGGTTTAATTCACCTCGGGGTGCCGAATGAATAAACGTGCACAGCTGTGGCTGCCTTACCGCCATTCTATCCATCTACACCCTCATTCAGTTATTTGAGAGGTAGGTAAAGAGAACTAAAAACGGGACCTCAGGCTGAGGGTGGGAAGCAAGGAACATAGACTCTGCTTGCTTAGTTGCTTCTTACCAAAAAAAAAAAAACAAAAAAACCCCAAAAAAACAAAAAACAAACAACAAACAAAACACGATTACCGAGCACAACTTCAGTCAACATCTCATGTTTGACACGCATTTCTCATTTAACTATCGCTGAAATCAAATCTCTTCTTCACGTACACACACACCCAATGCCAAAAAGCACCTAGAATTCACGATAGGGTTTTACATTCCCAAGACGGCCTCAGGCTATGGAGATGTGAGGCCGGATCTGAGGAAGGACCCAGGCCCAGGATTGCTCCTTTCCTCGTTCTTTAGCTGTTTTCCTTAAGTTTCACTCTCCCCCTAGCCAAAGCCCAACTCACTAATTCACATAATAGAATGGTACACATGATTGTTTGCTTTGGAAGCTTCATTTCCCATAAGTGGGGCATGTGGCAATAGCGCTGATCTGGAAGCAAGAGACTTAGGTTCTAGTCCCAAGTACTAACCACAAAGTCATAAAAACTCCAGCACATCCCTGCCCCTCTGCAGTGGCTTCATCCCCACAAGAAAAAGGCTGGGTTTGATCCTTCCTAGCAACCCTTTAAAAGAATTGGCATTTTTAGTTCTGTCTTGTTAGCTGGCAAGATTTCCTAACACAATGCTTAAGGATGTTAAGAATTTAAGAGCCTGGATCTTCCCGCTCCAGTTACCTGTTGCCGTAAAAGACCTTGACCAAGTCATCTAACAGCTCCAAACCCTAGTTTCATCTGAGAAATGGGGATGGTAAATGGTCCTGACCGTAGAGGTGGCTGGGAGATACGTTATATAAAAATGTATGCTTTACACAGCAAATACTCCACAACTGTTACCTTTTAATGGTTTTTTTTAATGTGTAGTCTCCATTCTTCTTCAGTCAATTGATTTAGAGCTCAATCAGTTGTAGGTGGGTTTTGAGGTACTTTTTTTATTTCCCTCAAATGTAGATTTAGGTCTGACTTTGGAGCAGCCCTGGTGGATGGAGGTGGCGGAGGGAGTGGCAGAAAGGAGACTGTGCTTTAAACAAAACAAAACACAGGTCTTTTTGAATGTCCTCCCAGGCGGGGCTTTGGGGCTTTGCAGAGGTGCTTGTTGTCACTCTGGAAGAGCAAGAAGTTCTCAGCTGCCTGAGTCATTCAGCTCCCAATGTCAGGCCCAGCCTCCTGGCTTGGATATCTTCTTTCAGATCCAGGGGGAGCAAGGGGATGACCGGCTAGGAGACCTGCTTCCTACCCTGCCAGGCCCCCAGTCCAGGGTCCCACAGTGGCCAGGGATGGTGAGACATAACCTGGGGATGCTGTATCTCTGGCTTTAACTGGGATGTTCTACCCAGTGGATTCAATCCATGGCTACACACCACTGTCATTTCTCAAGTGCCTTCTGTGTGCCAAGCTTTGGGCTTTACTTGCATTATATCATTTATCTTCATGATCACCTGAGGGGTAGGTACAATTATTATCTCCACATTCAGAGAGGAACTGAGGCTTAGAAAGGCCACCCAGGTAGTAAGTGGTTGAGTAGGGGTTAGAACCCCATTAGTTAAATTCATAGCCTATGTTCATGAGTGCTGAGTCTCCGTAAGACAGTAAGATAAATTATGACATTGTAAAGACAACATGGTGCCGTGGAAAGTGTACAGACGTCTGGGAGCCCAGGTCCTGATGCATCACTCAACATGTGTGGCCTTGAGCAAGTCCTTAACTACACTGAGGCCTCCATTTACCGACCTGTCAATGTGATCCATGGTCGCCAGGGCCTCTAACCTGGGGGGTGGGATGTTCTTAAGTCGAAGACTTAAAAGAGTGAAGGGGTGGGTGTGGTCATGACTTTGAAGAGAGGAGTTTTCTCACACATTGTAATTGTTAAGAAAAATTACCCAAAAGTAGGAAATCAGGCAAAAAGATGACTGTGTGACCTTTTTATGTCATACTAGAGCATTTTCAAAAAAACCCACATAGGAGTCATCTGGCATTTTGGAAAATGAAATTATTTTCCTAACTCCTAGAGTCAGTCAGGCATTTTATAAAAATAGCTGAAATAGTTTGGAAGCAGAAATAGTTGGAGACCCTTCATCTTTTTAAAGTAAATGTCAGTGTTCATGAGAAGACTTGGGTTTGGATTAGGAAGAGAACGTGCTAAGGAGAGGCCATTTGGGACGTACAGATGAAAAACAGGAAGTAAATGGGTTTGGGAAGACCCCATGGGCAGAGGCAATGCCTGAGGGCCACCGTATAGATTCTGATCTCCCTGTTCCTTCCCTCTGGTGATACTCAATGGTGCTTTGGTGTTTGCATCCCTTCCTCCCTCCCTTTCTTCAAAATCTGGGTGTATATATACTTCTTTTCATAATTAAGATGAACTAGGATTAATATTGTTTTCAGAATTAAATTAACACCTTTGAAGTGAAGGCAATGCAGGATGTCATAAAGTCTGAAAAGAGAATGCTGGGATTAGGTGTATACTTGTGGGGGGGGGTGTCTCTGTGTGTGTGTGTTCGCACATAATCACAGCTGATTGACAGATCTCTGCTTTTATAAAATGACGGCCTTTGTGAAAGAGCTCCTCAAATCCTTCCTGACATTAAAACTTACCCTCTTGGAAATAAAATGATGATTTTAAAAAGAGGGGGAAAAAAGTGTTTCCAACCGTAAACCAAGTTAATACTCCTTGTGGGTCTGGGAAATCCCACAGCTTGTTTGGACGATTGGTCCACATAAGGTATATTAGGTAGGCAGGGCAGGAGGCTGACTCTGGATTTGTCCACCAGGGTTTGAATATTAGTTCAGACACTTACTGAAGTCATCTAACCTCTCTGAGCATTGTATATTTACGGTAAAAAAAAAAAAAAAAAAAAAAAAAAAAAAGACAACCAACAACAAAAATGGGGTGGGGCAGGGGACTAAAACCCAGCTCACTAGGGTGGCTGTCTGTGCAAAGTAAGGAATGCATGCAAAATGCTTACAATGTCTGAAGTAGTAGTAAATGTTAACAGTAACAATAAGATTCCTGAAGGGTCCTTTCAGCTCGGAATGTCTATGAGCTCTGCTAAGAGGTCCGGGAGTGTCCTGCACCGAACTCTGTGTTCCAGAGCTTTTTTTAGCTCTGGCTTAGGTCCAAATGCTTACGTGCCATTTGGCAAGCTCCCTCCTCGCTCTAGCCTGGTGCCCCTCGGCACAGGAAGTTGTGGGGTGGTCTCTGCGGCTCATCTCCACTCTAAGTTTGGGCTTTCAAAGAGGCTGTAGCCTCATTCCGGACCCCTAGGCTTCCGGGGCGGGGAGCGCAGTCAGGAGCTACCCATACCAGGGGAAGTGGACGTCCTGTAGAACTGGATACCCGCGGCCACTCGACTACTAATCGAGTTGTTTACTTCGCTGGGTCCCACCCCGTTGGCCGCGGGCCCGCCCGGACACTGCGGTGCGATTGGACGACCGATCTGTCAATCTCCAGGGACTTTCCCAGGGGTAGGGCAGTCCGGCCTCCCGGGCACTTCCTCGTCCCAGCCCCTTCCCTGGATCCGGTGGAGTGTTGCGGCCTCGCAGCCTGTCCTAGGCCGCTAGCCTGTCCCTGGACCTGGGATTGGAAGGGAGAGTGGGGCGCTGTCCCTCAAGGCCCTCACCCTCAGGTAAGCAGGCCGGGCCTGAAGATGGAGCGGGAGGAAGGGATTCTGGGACCGGGCTGTTCAGAGCCTCAGCAGTGACCGGACGAGGAGTGGCCTGGGCTGCTGGGCTCCTGGGGTCTGGCACATAAGGTCCCCGAGTGTCCGGCGCCTCCCGGGTCCGCGGGGGGATCCGACTGTGTGGGGAAACCCTGCCCCACGCAGAGGGTGGTCGGTGCGCGTGCGCACTGCGTAGGTAAGCGCGTCTAGAAGCAGTACGGGCGAGTTCAGAGCTTGCAGGCGGTGTGCACCATCCGGGTGGAGGGAGTGTGCGGGCACGAGTCTGTTTACAGAGTGGGAGACCAGTTTTGGAAGCAGCGTGCACAGGTAATGAAGAGGAAAATAATAACTATCACTGGACGCTTTCGAAGCGCTTGATCTAAACCCTTTTTCATGCATTAAATTCATTTAATTGTCACATCCATCTTCAAAATTAGTATTATTACTCTCCCTATTTTATTTTCAACCAAAGCACTTGGTGACTGGGGTCACAACGATAGGTAGTTGCAAAGTCAGGATTCAAAAACTGGCATTTGGCTCCAGAGTCCTTGCTCTGCTGTTTCTGTTGAGCCTGTTGGCACAGTGTGGGAGACAACGTTTGTGTGCATGTGCAGGGTAGCTGTTCTGAGGTTGTGGGAGTGATTTTGGGTGTGGCGTTTCTACGTATGGGTGACTTTTCCACTGTAGAACATTTGTGTGCATGCAGTGATGTGTATGGAAGCGGAGGCATTTTATGTTCATTAATTTTGTGCATGGAGTGGGGAATTTTGTGTGACTGGGCTGACAGATTGTGTTTTGGTTCATGGGGAGAGGGCGAGACTTTTGTAGATGATGCAGAAGAATCAGCAACATCCATCCCCACCCCCTTGCAGAATGACAGTGCAGGGGAATCTGTGGATTCCTAATGCATCATTTTTATTTCACAGTATAGTCAAAATGGAATTTAAGCAGCACTTACTCACTTTCCAAACAGTTGGGTATGGTAGAGGGGAATTCGGCATCTGATGAGAAATCAGGAAAGGAGACTCAAATTTTTTTTTTTATTCCTGACAAAGGATGTTGTATTATAAGCTGGAATATTTATTAGTACAAACTCATAGCAGTGGTGTGATGTTGTATCAATGTCTCTATTTGAGAGCAGAGGGAACTGAGGCAGTGAAAAACCAGTAATGGTAATAATAACAGCTTACATTTATGAACACTTAACCATGTGCCAGGCATGGTGTTGTACATGCAATATCTCATTTAATCTTTTCAACAACCCTAGGACATAATCATTATTCGTAGCCTCAATTTTCAGATGAGGAGACTGAGGCCCAAAAAGGTTAAGACCTGGCCAGAACGAATAAGCTTTGAACCCTGGATCCTGTTTCTTTTCTACCGACCACGGCTCCTGCCCTGGCCGTGTCCTGGGAAAATACTGTGATCGGAGACCGGTACTTCATGGAAGCACTTGATCATGTCCCTCTGGAAGCTGCAGCCATGAGTGTTCTCTGCTTTGTATACTAATGTGACCCTGTTTTCCCCAACCCGTGGGTATGGCGTGGTGCTCATGCCGAGGATTGGTGTGTACCCCTATGCCCACACCAGGTCTTCTGGGGCCCCAGGAAGCTGTGGGGTCTGACTCACACCCTTACCCCCCGTGCTGCTGTGACTTGGGCCCGGATGCACCGGGCTGGGTCGGGCCGACCTGATTGGAGTACCTGAGAACTGTAAGAGGTTGTCTGCCCACCTCCCTGTCTGGGCACCACTGGGCGCTCCCTCACTTCTGCATTCACTGCGGTTTAGCCTTGGCACCTGCCTTTCTTCCCTGCCAAGCTTACTCTTTCCGTGAGGCCTTTGTATGTGTTGTTCCTTCTGCCTGGAACACCTTTCCCCAGCGCTTTCCATGGCTGGTTCTTCCCTGTCTGTCAAGTCTCAGCTCAAATGTCACCTCCTTGGAGGGGCCTTCCCTGACCTTTCTATGCAAAGTAGCCCCTTTTTTCACTTTCTGTCATAAAACTGTTGTGTTTTTTTTTTCATACATTTGTCATGCTCTGAAACAATCTTGTTTATTCATGAGTGAGAAAGTGTATGTGTAGAAGTTAGTGTCGGGCATACAGTAGTTTCAGTGTTTGCTTGTTTGTTGTCTTTCTCTACTCCTAGGATTGAAGGGTGAGAGGAGGGACCTCTCTAGTTTCATGTGTGCATCCCTGATACTAGATGAGGGTGTCCCTAAGGAAAGGCTCTACTGGCTTTGTTCGATGGATAAGTAAAACTGATGAAACTAGCATAATGGTGCATTTGCCAGATGAGGAAACATGCCTGGAGATGGGAAGGCGCTTGTCCCGGAGGGGTGGTGGCAGAGTCAGGACGAGAACCAGGACTTGCGTCCCGAGGCATTTTTTTCCTCCCGCCAGTCAACAAACACCTCCTGTTGGCCCGCCTGCCCGGTGCTGTGAAAGTGGCATGATGCTCAGGCGCATAAGGAATCGGCTCTGCCCTTGAGGAACTGGTCATGGACTGGGGAGAAATGTGCTCTGAGTGCTATGTGGAAGCCAGTGTGTGCCCGGCAGGAAGTCTTACTGGGCTGCGAAGCAGTGTTGGGGCACCAGGTGGACAGGGGGCTTCTGGAGGGAGATGACCCCAAGACCAGGCCCTAGGAAGATGACGAGGTGCAAAGCGGGCCTGCGCAGTGGATTCGGGGTAAGGCTCTGCTGGGTTGTGGGAGCTGAGCCGCTGGGCTAGGAAAAACCCTATGGCCTTGACTTCCAGGCAGAGAGACTCGTCAGTTTTTCCCTGTGGGCAGCATTGGGAAGTGATCGGAGCATTTAGTTGGCAAACTTAAGCAGGCATCAGAATCACTTGGGGGGCTTGTTAGGTTGTGCCCCATGACGTCTGACCCAGGGGTGCTGGTGGCGCTGCTTCTGGTCCGGGTGGCTCTGTGAGAACCCCTGGTGCAGAGCACAGGCTTTAGACTCCAGCAGGGGTGTCCAGTCTTTTCGCATCTTTGGGCCACACTGGAAGAAGAGTTGTCTTGGGCCACACATTAAATACATTGCAAAAAAAAAAAATCTCATACTGTTTTAAGTAAATGGACGATTTTGCGTTGGGCCGCATTCACGGCCCTCCTGGTTGGACACCCCTGCTAGTTTGACACACCTGGGTGGGCACTGCCCCTGCATCCTCATCTGTGAGATTCCGTGCCGTCCGTGCCACCTCCGAGAGCGGTGCAAATGAACGGATCAGTGGTGTCGGTCACTCAGCACAGGGCTGGTGCAGGGTAAGCCGGCAGCCAGTGCCCGCTGCTGACCTTGTTAATGAGGCAGTAGGATGTTGAGGGGATTTCAGCAGGGGAAGATGAGGGTGATCCATTTTTCCGTGCTTCAGGAAAACTTGCCTTTGACCTGCGGCCACCTGTGGACCATGCTGGGTCCTCTCTGGCGGGGTCGACCTTTGCTTTGTCTCAGACATCTTTCTGTCTCTGGTTGGAATAGCGGAAGGTTATCTGTGCAAGGGGCTCAGGCAACATCTGGCCCAAATGCCCTCAACAGCACCCAGCACCCTAGCAGGTGATCATCCAGCTTCCGCTTGACCTCAGGGTCAGGGAGCGCGCTACCTGGCAGGCAGCACCCCTACCCCGACCCCTGTGTTGTAACACATGGCCTTTTGTGGGAAAGGTTTTGTGAAGCTTCTTCCTTTCTCACCTCCTCTGCTCCCTCATTGCTCACCTGGCCACTTTGGGAGAGGGAGGAAAGGAAAACAGGCAGAGCGGTAGCATGGTGTGGCCAAGAGGGCACCACTGGCCCCCAGAAGACCCGGGTCACCTCCCCATGTCACTGCCATCTTGTGCGGCCTCAGGCAGGTCTCTCCACTTTGCTGGCTTTGGTGTCCCAGCCACAGATGGAAGGGATTGCACTGACTGGTGTCTAAGGCTGCCCTCTTCCAGATCTCAAAACTGTAGGCCAGCGATTGGGCTTCCAGCGGTTGCTGAGCTTTTCCAGCTGGGCCAGGCCTTTCGTGCCTACCCTCCCTGTGTCCAGATGCGGTACCACTGTCCCCCTTACGCTGGCCCTCTTTGAAGGGAGGGTGTGTGGGGTCCTCTGGAGAGTTGCCAGGAAGAAAGCTCAGGGAAGCAGGGAGAAGTGCCCCAACCCCTAGAGACAGGTTGCAGGAAGTCCTTGGTGTTTTCCACATGACTGGCCCAGGACAGTCATTCTTTCGATAGGAACCGATGAGTGGTCTGAGGAGCAGCTGGCTCTTTGTCTGAGGGCTGCCCTCCTTGGGGAGCTCTTCTCCTCCCGAGGACCTCACCCCAGGGGGGTGTCCTGTGTCCTTGAGCGCGTGTGAACCGAACGGATGACCCAGGCAGATGGATGTGTGTGTGTGGGGGGGCAGAGGGCAGAGGGAGGGGTGCTGTGGGAGACGTGTCGCCAAGGAGTCATACTCAGAGGCCAGAGGTGGTATTTTTAGGGCGGGCGTGGGGGTGTCCCATGAGTCAGGGGCCTTTGGTTCGGTCTCCACCCACGCCAGAGAGTACTTGCTCCGCTGGCCGTTGCCCTCTGCCTCCATCGGGCCAGCGTCATCAGAAGGCTGAGGAACCCGGGTCCCTCCTCGCCCCTGCTTCTGCCTCTGCAAGTGCCGTACCCCCTCCAGCCCCTGGGGAGAGGGTCTGAGGACAGCAATGTGGACTTTTAGAAAAGAGGAAGGAATCTCTCAGAAGAGGGTGATAGACAGATACCTGGCCATGCACTCGGACGCGTTTCTGTGTACCTGAAATTTCTCCCTGGTTATCCCCTTCCCTGCCCCTGTAGTTAGGGTTTATTCTCTTGCATTTCTGCATGGTTTCATTATAAATACATGCCTCCCTAAGCAATATGTAGTATTGTTTTATACGTTTTAAAACGTTACTTACGTGCTATCATACTGTCTCTGTTCTTCTGAAACTCGCTTGTTTTGCTGAATATATTTGTGAGATTCATCCCTGTTGGTATCTCTAGCTTTGGGTCACTAAAGGTTCATTCATTTCTTATGGCTGTGCAGTACTCCCTAGCATGAACTTGCCCCATTGTATTTACTCGTTTTCTTCTTCATTAGGTAGTTCCAGCTTTTGCTTTTAAAACAACATATATTTGGCTTTTACCTCCCCTTCCTAGCCCTTCAGGCCCCTGTCAGGATAGCACTTTAAACTCTACAGAGAGCTACCTGGTTTCTAGTTGGTCCTCTCAGCATTTCCAGAGGGAGAAACAAGGAAAGTGAGGTCACTCGTGGTCACCTGGGGAGGGAGAGAGACAGGACTTGAACCCGTTAAACCCGCTTGCCCTCCTATTTGGTGTAAAGGAATTCTCAAAAGTTGTCACTTTCCCTCTTGGAGGGGGCAGTTACAGGGTGGGAGAAACCTTTTGTCGCACAAACCAGCTCTGGGCATATTGGGGACTGGGAGACAGAGGACAGTGGGATTCTCCAACCGTTTTGTCCCAAGGTTGGGCCTAGTGCCTTTGGTCCCTATTGCTGATAGTCGAGGTCCGCCTGGGCAGGGCCCCAGCCCCTGGGAGGGAAGTGATGGGGCATTGGCTGTGGATCCCAGGAGTCGAGAGGAGGTGTGCGCGCGGGAGGAGGTGTGTGCGCGGCGGCGAAGGCGGCCTGGGCTGCCTCTGTAGCCCTCCTTAGAGGGCTGTTGGCCACAGGGAGCACAGTGTGGGGACTGGTGATGGTTCCGCTGTGTCCCTTGGGAACTGTGTGGCCTTGAGCCAACCCCTGCACCTGTCTCCACCCAGCTTCTTCTCCAGCACAGCAGGTGTCAGGCCTGGTGCGAGGACCCACGGGCAGGGGCAGGGAGCTTCGCACCTGTTCCCAGCTGAGGGTGGCTATCAAAGTCTGGTGCTTCACGTCCCACCTCTGCCACCTCAAGGTCAGCCCTGACCTTCCTGAAGCCAGATCCTTTCTGGCAGGTTCCAGGCTGAAACTCTCCCCTGCAGTTGCTAACTCTTCATCCACCGAATTCCTTGACTAGAAAACTTGCTCCGGGACCTTCCCTTCTGATGTGTGGGCGCATCCCTGTAGCCTTGTCTGCCCACACGAAGCAGGCACGTAGTAAGGGGGCCCTCACCCCTGCCCACAGCCCTGCAGCCTCCTTTAGGGCCAGGACAACAGTCTTTCCCTATTGTTCCGACCTTATCAAGACACTTACATTTTTTAAAAATCATTTTTAAATCTCCCTTTAAAAAGTTACAAAATAACACATGCTCATTGGAGGGGGGAAAAAATCCCCCAAAACTCAACCAGTAGAAAAGGTATAAGTAAAAAGTGAAAATTATCTTCTCTCTTCTTCCTCTCCCCTGCCCTGTCCCCACTGTATTTTAAAATTAATTTAAAAAAAATAGAACAGGACTGCTATGGCTGGTGTGGCTCAGTTGGTTGGAGCATCGTCCCATAACTGGAAGGTTATGGGTGTTGTTGCTGGTCAGGGCACATACCTAGGTTGTGGGTCCAGTCCCTGTTTGGGGTATATACGAGAAGCAACCGATTGATGTTTCTCTCCCCGCCCCCCACTTTCTCTAAAAAGCAATGGAAAAAAAAAATGTCCTTGGGTGAGAATTAAAAAAAAAAAGAATAGGATTAGGTTTCCTTTGTAAAGAGCTAAAGAATTGTATGTAAAATAAAAGTTTCTTTTGATTCTTATCCCCTAATTTGAATTTCTTCTGTAGAGCTGTCTACTAGTAGCAGTTTGGTGTGTATCTTTCCAGACCTTTTTTATGCGTACTTAAGATTTTATACGCACACACGGTTGTATGTTTTTTAAAAAGTATATTCCTGTTATACATATAAATCCATACTTTGCTTTTTTTTCCTTAATGATATTTTTATGGGCATCTTTCTTGTGCATCATTGCAAAGCAGCCCGCCTCATTCTTTTTGATGGGTGTATAATATTCCATCGAATAAGTGCCCCATAATTTATTAAGCCAGTCCCCTTTGGATGGACGTTCAGGACATTTTTGCTATTACAAAACACGTGACACTGCACATCTTTGTCCACCCATGTGCACAGTGATACAAATATTTCTAGATTCTTAGATAGAGGATTACTCAATCAGTTACCTGTGGCCCTTTCAATAATTGAAACCTCCTCAAGCATACTTTTCTACAAGAGAACTTGGTTCTCAGCCAATCAGGCATACAAGCAGGTTGTTGACATCATCAAGAAAGGGCTTGCTTTACTGTGGGTGACGCACCTATAAGTAAAACTGGTGTTTTTCTACTAGGTGAGATCAGTAGAAACATAATACATATAAAAGGGTGGAGGTGAAAGTTTCTGTTTGGTCAGGCAGACCACACCTGGAGTGTTGTGTTCGGTTTCAGGACCAGCTGCAGATGGGGGGGAGCGGGGGAGTGTTGAGGGGAAGGGATGGAGAGGGGCCTGGAAGCCATTCCCTAGGAGAAACGGGAGGGAACAAGGGCTGAGCAGCTTCAAGAGAACGCAGCAGGGTCCCGATCTCTCGAGGGCTGAAACGGAGAAGAGAGGCACCTGGCTCCTAATCCAGAGGACCCCAGAGGCAGGGCAGGGGCTGGTGGAAGCAGACCTGGGAGTAGCCTGGCTACAGCCAGTGCTGGCTGCCTGGGGGTGGCTCCTTGGGTAGGGGTGGGAGGTGGGGAGGGGCGCCTAGGTCACTAAAGATAGTCGACTGCAGTCTCTTGGCTCCCCTAGGGACTGCACAGGCACAGGGCTGAACTTGCCCTGAGCTTCCTTCCAGCCTGAGATTCTAAGCCCTGGCGACGGAGATGGTGATTAAGGGCAGCCTGGAATCTGATTGTGTACAAGGTTGGAGACACATGGAGGCAGGGGCTGGGAGCTTGGGGGCACATTCCGGACAGCCAACAGCATGACTGACTGACGTCCTCCCCCGGAGCTTCAGTTCACGGCCTCTCAGGCAGCACAGGTCAACAGAAAGGGCACCAGTATGGGAGCCCTGCAGATCGATGCTCTTCTTCCACTAACCAGCTGTGTGTCCTTAGGCAAGTGACTTAACCTCTCTGAGTCTGCTTTGTCATCTGAAAAATAGAGGAAATGCTATCTAGCCAAGAGGACTGGTTTCCTTGCTGGTAAACGGGTAGTAATTTTCATCTCGGTGGTGGGAGGAAAATGAGGCAATGTACATCATGACGCAGCCCCGGGCCTGGGATACGGGAGCACTTCACACCTCTCAGGCCCGCTCCCAGCTTTAGCAAGGTGCTCCTTGGTCGCCCTGTGCAGCGATTCCCGCTGGCCGATGGCCCCGGTCCACCCTCTTGTCCCCAGGCTGGGGGTGTGGAGCCTGGGTCTTGCAGGCCAAGTGGAGGCAGTGGGGGTCCCTCTGTAGCTGGGTCAGGGGAGGGGAGAATGGGCAAGGGGAGGACGGAGGACACGGGAGGAGGAGAGGGCCTGGTGAAGGGCTGCAGACACTACGTGGGAGTCTCTCACCGCTCTCGGGGAGGCAATAGCACCCCTTACAGCACTTGGCAGGCGGGGGTGGCTCACGGGTCAGGGAAGTCCACCCAGGAGTTAGGAGGAATTGAAGCTGCAGAGAGTAGCCTTCTCAAGAGCATAAGGTTATAGAAAGGGGTGATCATAAATTAGCAAGTTCTGGAATGTGAGAACTACAAGGGGCTTTTGTCTCCCCGCTGTGTTATATTATTGCTATTGTGGCGAGCCCCTTCTTTTAGAAAACTGAGACTCAGTGAGGGGAGAGGTTGGCCCTGGTGTCCCGTGACTGGATCCCATGATTTTGGAGCCCCAGCTCCTCATAGTCCACCCCACGCCTGCAGCCTTTTTATTGCTGAATCGGTAGCAAAGACCTATTAAGTCCTTGGGTCCTCGCTGGCAAGGTTGCCGGGGTGGGCTCCCTGAGGACACACCGTCTAAAGTAGGTGCTGTGCCTTTGCCGACAGTTGTCAAGAGGCACAGAGTGCTCTTTGATGGATGGTCCTGGGCCCACAGCGTCCCTGACCAAGAAGTGGGTGTGAACAGATACTGGTTTGCTGTCCTGATGCCTCACTTCCTCTAATCCCTGGGGGGAATGGAAGGACATATCCATTTACAATTGAAGATAGTGAGGTTCAAATGATTCTCAGTCTTGCATGAGTGCGGTACCATGGTCCGTGGGTTTCATGGGTCTACATCTTCACTGGGTATGGTATCAAACCAGTACCCCTGCTTAACCGTTATTTGAAATGATCAGATGTTGAGTAGATGCTACAAACTAGCGTGCTGAGCCTACCGAGGAACCTACAAACTTGTTACAAGAAGGAATAAATGGGGTGCGGAGACTTGACCCATACCTAAATCAGCTGGGCACAGCCAGGGGGCTGCCTCGTCCTGTTAGTAAGAACCTACTATGTGCCTGGTACTTAGCTAAGAACTATATACACATTATTATTATTTTGGAAATTGTATTATAAAGTGAATACATTTCTTGTTAAATAAACCAAATGAGGAGGAAGAGTGAAGTGAGAACTTCCAACTGTACACATACGGTTTCATTTAATTTCTTTACCCTGAGAGCAGGTAGATTCTATCATTATTCCTATTTTGCAGATGAGGCAGCAGTGGCTTGGAAGAGGTGAGGGACTGGTCCAGTATCACGGCAGCCTGCAGGATAGGCAGAGCGGGGACTAGGGCGAGGCGAGCACAGGTGAGGCCCCCGGTGCAGCCTGGGAGGGGGGCTTTTGCTCAGGGTCACGTGCTTGCACCCCCTCAGTGTTGGACCCTGCGTGCCTTGCCTGCTTCGCCCTAGATCCTGCCCTGTTTGGACCCTTTTCTTCCTGGCATCAAGGCTGCATTATCGCCAGTGCCCTGAGTCCTCTCTTTCCTTGACTTGCTGCTGGCTCCCAAGGCTTGGGAGTCAGTCAGTCCATAGGCCACGCTCCTCCCTGTGCACACGAGGGGACCAAGGTGCAGGGAGTAGACGGGCTCACCCCTGGCCATGGGTAGCGGAGTAGACGCTAGGACCCTCTGACTTTCTGTCCTTTGTCTTCCTTCCTGGAGACCCTTTCCTTCGCCTCTCTGTCACCTGCACCCACCAGCATCCCTGGAAGCGCTTGCCTCTGGCTGGGGAGTTGACCCTTGGCCACTGTGACCTCCCAGTGCGCAGTACCAGAGACCTGCCTGGACTGTTGCCTGTGGGGCAGGGAGATCCTCGCTCCCCTGAGGGCTGGGGGGGCACAGCCGGCCCCTGGAGGCAGCCGGTGCCCCGCCGTGTTAGATTGGGCTGATGGAGTCCCCCAGGCGGCCTCAGTTTCCTCATTTGTCAAGCAGACATCAGTCCTACCTTCCTCCCAAGGCTGTGTGACAATCAGATGGAAAAACAGTGCTTGGGAAACTACTATGTATTTTGCAAATGTTACTGGTTATGTAAATTTCTGTCATTTGGGGGCCTGGGAGCCTCCCTCCTGGTGATAGCACATGACAGTCTCAGATGGGCTGAAGCATTTCAGGGCAGAAGCTGGGATGTAAATTTAATTCTGGAGTTCACTTTTTTCAACCCTCTTCTTGTGTGGAGGCTGCGATTTGGGCCCACGCTCCCACTCCCTTAGCTGCTGTCTGTCACTGCCACCCTCTCCCTTTTTTTAGGCTGGCGGCTTCTTCAGTTTCAACAGCATCACTTCCATCTTCACACTCTGTGGTCACTGCCTGGCCTGTCTGTATGGGCCTCTTTCTGCCCCCAAGCCGGGCCTTTCTGGTTCCAGTGGACACCCGAGCATCCCTCAGGGCAGGCTGTGGGAATGCCCTCTTACCCTCCACCCGCCCCCGCCCCCCCCCCCCAGCCCCCAGCTGAGGTCTTGTTTCAGAATAAGGTCTGAGCTGGTTGCCCCTTCACCACCAGCTGTTCACCTGCTGATCAGTAGCTGCTGGAACCAGGTCCAGGTGGATATGGAGTCTGGGCCAGACCCCACAAGAACATGGGGTGTGGCCCCTGCTTTGCGGGGGGATCTCAGTGCAGGAGCAGAACAGAGGGCAGGGGCAGTGGGCAGGCTGGCGAGAGAGTAGGGACCTTCTGGTGCCCACTCTGTCCTGACTTTTGGTGACTTTGGTCCTCCTCGGGCTCTGGCCCTGACCGGCGGCTTTCACACCATGCGGGAGGGTCAGAAAGCCCCTGGACGCTGGTCACGGTCTTGGCCTCGCTGCCCTTGGAGCGTCCTGTGCAGCCCCGTCATCCTGGGAATGATTCCTCTCTCCAGGAAAGGTTACCAAAACCTTGCTGCCGAGCAGGAGAGTTCCTGTCTGCTGCAGTCATCCTGGAACTGCTGACGGCCATCTGGGCGTGAGGTCAGCAGGACGTGGAAATTCCCCGTTTCTCTCTTTGTCTTTCTTTCCTCCAGAAGCCCAGACCCTCCCTCGGGTGGCTCCCCGGTCTCCAGGGAGGGTTTTCTCACGGTAGACTGCTTCATCTCTCTCCCGTCCGCCCACTGCCTGGCAGCCTGTCCTTCTCCCCACTGAGGCCTCGGAGGCCGGAGCTGGGGAGAGCAGCACCGCCTGCCCCCTCTTTTGCCTCCTGAACCCCCTTCCGTGTCGGCTCCCCGGTGCTGAGGGAGAGCCTGAGCCTTGTGTGGCTTGGAGGATGTGGAGATGGGGTTTCAGTTCCTCCGTCCTGCATCCCGCTGTGTCACCTGGTAGCGTTGGGGCACCCCTCAGGGAGCAGGGCTGTGCCCGCCCTGATTCTAGGAGTGTGTGGTTGTCCCGAGTGCCCCTGGCCAGCGGGTCACAGTCAGGCTCTCGGGATGTGGGCGCACAGCCTCTCAGGACGCAGGGTTAGAGGCTCCTCTGGTCCTATCTCTTTGTGCTCTGATTAGAGATTTATTGAGGCTTTATTCTGGACCACTCAGAAGATACCCTGGTAGACAAGATGGACTTGCCTCCTGTTCCCGTGGAACTTACAGTCTCTTGGGCAAGCCAGATGTGAAGCAAAAATCATACCCAAACGACCATGCCCTGTTATCTGTCACTTCCATTTTGGATGGGTGTAGAGTGTGAGCAGGAACCAGGACCGCTGCCTCCACTTACCACTAAAGGTGGTTATAAGCCCCTTCCAGCTTTCAGTCACCCCCTCTGTGAACTCCATTTAGCTGTCAATCATGGCTCAGCTTCCAAGCGCCAGACCTGCATAAAGCAGGAAGTTCTCCGTCAAAGGCACAAATGCTTACAGCAGTCAGATACATTCCACACCGGTCTGTAACATGTTTGCTGGAGGAGTAAAGGGAGCATCAAGTGAGAACCCTCCCCGCCCCCCCCGCCCTCCGCCGCACACATCTGCCAACATTTTGCATACCTTGTTCTATGCCAGTCATTGTGCCGAGGGCTTTGCCCACACTGTCTCTTCATTCAGTGAGCATTTCAGGGCTTTCGTGTTCTGTTGTGCAGCACTGACCTTTCACGTTGAAAACAAGCCCCCGCCCTCCCCACCAAGCTGAGTGATGGCTTCTGTGTTGGCGGGTAGGCAGCTGTCCTCTGCCTCTGTGGGGCCCAGCAGGGCGTGGGTGCCTTCAAAGTGTGTATTCATCTTCTCTGTTTGTCAGGCTTTGGAGGACGGGGTCCTGCTTACCAGAACTTTATTTGTCTTTCTGGCCCATAGTAATGTGGACCCTCTGGGCAAAGTCCTTGTTATTTCTTGTGCTTCAAGGCAGGGGAGGTAGCCCATGGGGCACCTAATACCCCACGTTACCCTACACACTGGCTGAACTCCTCTGGCTGAGGCTTGCTGTACGAGGGAGCAAGGGGCAAACTCGGCTTTCTTAGGCAGAGCAGGATTGGCATCTTTGCTGTCACCTGCTGGCCAGGTAACCCTAACCTCACTGAGCCTCCCTTGTAAAACGAAATGTGTATTTTAGGGTTGTCATGCCGCTCAACGGCGATAATGGACCTGAGGCGTTGAGTGCAGCGGCTGGCAAGTGGATGATTCATGAATGGTGGCCGTTAGTGTTCGTCCTTTTTCACTCTTTTCTATCAGGGAGCATTGTGTGGGCGCTCAAGGGGCCACTGGGGATTCCTGACTGAAAGAGTTTTTGCCCTGGGGGTGGTGATCTTTGGCGGGAGGTTTCGGGGGCCCCACGTCCTCCTGAGGTCTGGTGGAACTCTTTTGTGTAGGGGAAGCTCTTTGTGGTGCTGGAGGCTGGATTGATTTTTCAGCCTCAGAGCCTTTGCACGTACTGTTCTGCCTTCCTGGAGTAGTCTGCCCCCATGTCTGCATGGCTAGTTCTCTCCCCTCCCTTCAGGTCTTGGCTACAATAACTCCTCCTCTGTGGGGCCTTGCCTGACAGTTCCATTTACAATTAAAGTCTCCACCTCATGCGTCCGTGTTTAATTTTGGTCCATAGACATTTTCATCACCCCTAATACTATGTCTGTCTGTCTGCTGTCTAGCAATCTATCTATCTATCATGTCCACCGCTAGAATGTAGGCTCCATGAAGGACTTTTGTCTGTTTCATTGGCCCGTAATTTCCCAGCACCCAAACTAGTGTCCAGCACAGAGTTAGGTGCTCAATAAATAATTGTCGAATGAATGAATAAATGCAGGAAAGAAGTTTCTCTACTAAGCCATAGAATTAGGATTCTGAAATCACTTTGTGGAGTGGTTTCAAATGAAAGAAAGCAGAGGAAATTTAACAGATTAATGCAAAACACTGTGTAAGTAGAGAGTGGTTTGGTGGAAAATCCATCTGTTCATTAGAAGTGCAAGGGACAGACCATATGTGACGTGAGACTGATGGAGGAGGGTGACAGTATCAATTAGTTTATTAAATAAGAGAGTTTTTTCCTTTTTCTTTTAAAAAAATGATGACCTACATACAAATGAAACTTGGGATTGGACTGACTTGCCTATCCCTTAGGGCATAAGCATTTCACTTTAAAGATCACTAATTTAGTTTAAGACTTTCATTTCCCCTCAGAGAGGGGAAGGGACTGCCCACGATTTCACAGTGCATTAATGGTTGGGCCATTTATTTATTCGGTGTGTGTTGTTGGGCCTTCCCTTCAGAGCTAACACTGTGTGGGGTGCCGGGGATGCTGTGATGCGGGGTCCCGCTCCTTCTCGACCCCACCGAGAGGACATGACCTCAAGTTTTTTGATTCCAAGTCCACTGCTTTCTTATACTCCATCCACGTTGCGCCAGACATTTGATTACTGTTCCAAATGAACCAGCAGTGCAATAAGGTGCTGAAAGAAACTGATGCCATTCTTCAGTTGCACTAATAGAGGCAGAGCGTCCAGATCAAAAAAGGTGACCGTCTTGCTCTGCCATACTGTGGCCAGAGCAGCCTGAAGTGCTGTGCTCTCTTCTGGGCTGTGCGGACTGCCTTTTGGGGTGCCTCAGTGGTCTGGCCAGCCCCCTGATTTCCTGCTGTTGTCCTTACAGCCAGGCGGGCACCGCGGCAGGGGCTGAGCCACCCTCATGGAAGGGAGAGGACCTTATCGGATCTACGACCCTGGTGGCAGCGTGCCTCCGGGAGAGGCGTCCGCAGCTTTTGAGCGCCTAGTGGAGGAGAATTCCCGACTAAAGGAAAAAATGCAAGGGATAAAGATGTTAGGTAAAGCCGACCCTGCACTCTCCCCACAAGCTGCCTCCTGTAACCTGCAGTGCCAGCTGGCATGTGCCTCCAGCCGCGGCGTCCTGCTGTCCTTCTTGGCCCTGCGATGGCTTCTGCCCCACAGCTGTGTCTTCATGCACCTCCATAGCACGGTGGCAGCCTTCCCCACCCTGAGTCCCCAGCACCCCAGAACCATGAGGACAGGACTCAGAATACGTTGAGGGACCGAGAAAGAGGTGTGGGGTAGGAAAAGGGAGCTACAAGGCCCAGTTTGTGGATATGGAGACAGAGGGGACTTGTCTTCCAAGAAGCACCAGAGAGGGGGAGAACCGATATCACTGGGGCAACCAGGGTTCGGGCCCCAAGTGTTGAGCAGGTGGGAGCAGGGCCCTTGGTCTCTCTTTTCCTGGCTTTTGCTCAAACCGTCTCCACTGCTGAGAGCAGCACCGCCGCCCACCCCGAACCCCCGACCCCTGCGCACAGCTGAGTCTTCCCTGTCCATCAGCACCCAGCTCAGATGCCAACTTCCACTCCGTGAGAGACGCTCATTGATTTCCCTGTGCAGAGGGGTCTCTCTTCCCTCCGAACTCCTAAAACTCTTCCTCTGCCTTGCTGCCGCCTTCTCTAGCCTTATGCTTTGGGGGCAAGCTCAATTCCCCAATTTCCCAAATGCCTTCTCCTTGCTTTGCAGACCGCTGCTTGGAATGGCAGATTGGGGAACAAGGAGTGGAATTGCCCCTTCTCCTCTTGTGGGGGAAGGAAAACTGAGGCCTGGAGGGTGGTTGGTATTATTGAGAGCCTCATCCCTTCAAACTGGCCCTGACTGTGGATGCAGGCTGCGGTGGTACCCAGGCCCCTGGTGCGGGTTTCAGAGAGCCCTGGCTTTCTGTGGAGGCCCGGCCAGCTGTGGCGGGAGTGGGGCAGGAAGAGGGTGCTGGGGGCCAGGAGTTGGATCTAGATTCCCCTCCACTCCTTCTTCCCCGATTGCAGAGCCCTCTCCCATATCGGCCTGTTTCTGGCTGGAATGATGTACGTCCCACTCAACCCCACAGGGCAATGGTGGGAGTCAAGTCCAGGGCCTGGAGCGTGAAAAGCCAGGCCAAAGCAGGCTCAGCAGCACGGGGTGGGGAGAACCCACGCACAGAGCTGAGTAATTCCTTTTGCTCCTCCTTTCCCCGTTCTTTCCAGGGGAGCTTTTGGAAGAGTCCCAGATGGAAGCATCCAGGCTGCGGCAGAAGGCAGAGGAGCTGGTCAAGGACAATGAGCTGCTCCCGCCGCCATCTCCCACTTTGGCCTCCTTTGACCACCTGCCCGAGCTCACAGGTCCAAGGGGCCCCCGGGCTGTCCCCTGCCTTTCCTTGTGTTCCCATCCCTAAACCCTCAACAGGGGACTTCTTGTTTAGAAGTCCACATCTCCTCGGTTTACCCCTGGGCCCCAGGCCATCCTCCCAGTCATGCTTTGGATGGTACTTCAGAATACTCTTGTCCCTAAATGGCTGGTGACTCAGTGCTCTCGAGGCCCTGGCAAACATTAGTTATGGATCACAGCAATCCACTGTACCCAAGATGTGGCCTCACCATCTTCATTAGCCTATTTATTCAGCAAATATTTAATGAGCAGCCTCTTGGTGCCAGGCAGAGCGCTCCAGGCATCTCCTTCAAGCCACTCAGGTTTGGCGTGTGAGTCAAAAGCTCTCTGGCCTGGCCCCCCTCCCATTTTACAACTGGGGAAGCTGAGGCCCATGGAAGAACCCAGACTTGCCTGTTAGCCTTCTGCAGTAAGTAGCCTTCAGATGTAAGGTTACATATGTTACCTATTAATGGCAAGTTTTGACTGTGACTAAAGGTTAAAGTCCTGTGCGTGGTCACCGTGCATTCCTCGGGCATGTCTCTGAGTCCAGGGCAAGGCCTGGGGCCAGTGGGGGAAAGGTCTGCACCCATGGGGCGCAGAAGCCTCCTGCTGCAGCCTCACCCTCAGTCTCAGCCCAGGCCAACGGGCCACCCTCCCATCTCGCTGGTGGTCGCATTGGCTGAATGGACAAATGGAGGAAAATGATGACCTCAGGGTCCCCCGTGTGGCAGTTGGGCGTTTCCAGCCTCTTCTTGTCCCTTCGGCCATGCTTTCTGAGCCCAGCTTGGTACTGGGTCCATCCCAGAGTGCGCTGTGCAGCTGCCCTCGAGGGACTCCCTGTGGCAAGAGCCTCAGGGGGTCAGGGAGGGATAGTCAAGTGTGAGTCTTGGGTGTTTGGTTGCTGACTGCGAGACCATGGGCCAGTTGGTGACTTTTCTATGCCTTGGTTTCTTTACCTTTAAAATGGGAATTCAGAGCTGCTGTGAGAATTGGCTGAGACAGTATAATAACACTTTGTTCATTGTAAGTCCTCATCCTTGTCATCACTGAGGCAGGTCCAGCATAGCAAGGAGCAGTGGCCAGCAAGTCCAGGGAAGGTGGTCTCTCTGCCACGGTTCTGTCCCCACTGTTCCAGGGCCAGTTGTTTCCCCAGGCTCCCTGGCCCTGGAGGGACCACTTCCCAAATATTTTCCGAGGCTCTGAGAGCTCCTCTGTCCAGGGCTGTCCTCGAGGGGGCAGTACCTGGGCTTTTACCGTTTCCCTGCTGCTCATTTATGTTTTCTCAACTCTCTAGGAAAGGATGCAAATGTCCCAGCACCCTCTGCCAACCCTGCACACCCCAGTGACAAGCCAGAGCCAGTTCCAAAACCTCCATCCAGTGTAAGTTGCATTTGGAGTCCTAGCTGAAAGTCGCCTGGACTTCAAGGTCCCTTTGACAAATAGAAAGTACATGAACAGAGGAGGTCGGGGTCTAGAAGCCCAGAGTCCGACTTGCTGGGGGATGTTGGGCAAGCTGATCTCAGTCTCCCTGGGGTCTTGGTTTCCCCATTTTTAAATGAAGGTCACAGTTAAAACTTACCAGGAAGACCCTGGTATGCACAAGGGTTCCTCTCATGCACCAAGTTGTATAATGTGAAGCATGTATTGACTGTGCACCATGCTAGGAAAACAGATGGATGGGACATGGAACTCACATCCTCAGAGGGGCTCAGAAACTGCCTATGAATTTGCCTCGAGAAATTTCTCTTGGTATCCTAGGGTTGGAAGGGACTCAAGGGGTTTTATCACTTAGCATCTTCATCCTACAGATCGGGTCCAGCGTGAGAAGATTGCTTTCCAAGGTCACATAGACAGCAGGGGAAAGAAAGAGGGGAAAGGGGGACTTTTTGAGGGCATGGCCAAGATTCAGAGCTGGTTTCCTAGTGGCCGTGAGGCTCAGCAAAAGCTGTGAGCGGAAAGCCTCCCATCCGTTATCACACATCTGCCCTTCCGAGGGAAGGCTGACATCGCCTTTGTAGACCAGGTTCAATAGCAATTCCAGGACCAGCTGCTAGTTCAGAGGGACCATCGGCCTATCTGTTGGGTGCACAACCAGTACGTTCTACTTGGTGTGGCTCAGAGATGAGAAAACGACCGGGAGTGCTTGACCACCCTGGATTTGGGTGAATCCTGAAGAGAAATCCAAATTTGTTGACACATCTTAGGGATTTATCCTAGACCTGGGCTCTCTGGGGCTGGCTTGGCCAGGCTGGCACAGGACCACTCAACACTGGCCACACTGACCGCTGGCAGTTCTCCAGGTGACCAGCCGGGGACACAAGGGCCTGGGAGACAGCTCTGGTGCCACAGCAGGAACACGGGTTTCGCAGACCTTTGGTTCAGTCCCTTCTTTTGCATTAAGTAACAAAGTGCTCAGTTTCCTTGTCTATCCAAAGGGGAAAGAACCCTACCGCCATACTGAAGTTCATGAAACTATTTTAAAAATGCAAGTTAAAAAAAAAAAATCCTAAAGTCTAGTGGTATAAGATCAGCTAGTCCAGTCTCCCTGTTTTACGGATGAGGAAGCTGGTCACAGAGTGGGTGTGAGCTCAGATCACACGGTGAGCGGGTTAGGGGCAGACCCTTTGGGAATCCTGCGGCGTGGTTCTGCAGGAACCAATGTGTGACGGCCGGGAGCTCAGCTCTGCATGGAGGGGCGGTCAGGTGACCTGGATGTGAGAAGAGAGTGTGCCCTTCCATCTCTGCCCTGCTCCTCGCAGCCGTGGGTTCCTGCAGGAGGGGCGAGGGGCTCTGCTCCCAGGCAGCCCCTGACACCCTTTCTGCACAGGGCACCTCATCCGAATTTGAAGTGGTCCCTGCCGAGGAGCAGAATTCGCCACCACAGAGCGGCGGCCGCACCAGAAACACGATGGTGAGTGGATGGCAGATCCCTGCGCACATCCCATGTCTTCTCTCTGTTTCAGTCACCTGCCCAGGGTGAGAGGCACAAGGCCCACTCAGGTCCCTTGGGCGCTCTGGAGTCACTTGGGGATACATGGGGGGCCAGAGCAGGGGATGCTTCTCACTAGCCTATGCAAATCCCTTGCTGGTGACTTCCCCTACTTGGGTCACACAGGCGCCCGATCATTGTGAAAGCCTGGGCACAGCACCAGCCCCGCTGGCTTTCACCAAATTCCGGGCATCTCCGCACACTATGACTCAGCCTTGGGGCCAGTCGGCTTCCACCGGGTGGAAGACAAAAGGGTCAGGGAGGCCCAGAGCAGCCTATGGCAGGTGATTTGCCTTTTGTGCAGGCTGAGTATTAGAAAGGTTTGGAGTTTTGTCACCTGGGAACTTCTGTCCCTTTGTCCTGTTCTGTCCCTGAGGGCTCTGAGAGGCTGGCACAGGCAGTAGGAACCCCCTGCTCAGAAAGTATTTGCTTAATGACCTTGAACCTGTAACTTCATCTCATTAATGAGTTCCTCCTTAGTCCCACCATGTGCCTAGTCTGTGCTGAACAAAGACAAGACGGCCACCCTGCCCTCCAGGAACTTGTAGACTAACCGGGCAGATCAGAGGATGAAGCAATTCGTGGGCCTGAAATAGAGCAGCATTCGGCACCTCCACCCCTTTGTGAAGAGAGGCAGTGGGGGATGGACACAGAATCAGAGAAGCAGTGATATCTCCCATTAGCATAAGGTGCTAACAATATTACATAGGCATTCCCTGACCTTCGGGAAACTGTTCCCATCCTGGCTCTGCCACTGGGCGACCCTGGGCAAGTTCCTTCTCCCCATACCTTGGTTTTCTGGCCTGACCCCTGACGTTCTGCATGGCTCTGAGCTCCTGAAACTTCCATACATGTTCAGGGGAGGCCTCCTAGAGGAGCTGGAACGTGGGCAAGTCCAGCAAGGATGAGCACAGGGCACACGATGGCAATGGTGGCTGAGAAGGCGAGGGGCCTCCAGCAGGGAAAGGTCCAGTCTCAGAAGCCTGGCAGGGGAGCTGAGCTTGTGGCAGTCAGCTGTGAGGTGCCCTGCGGACCCTGGGGTACGGTGTAAGGCACCGTCTCGGGAAGAAATGTTCTAGGGACGGGAATGTTGGAGAGAGATTGATCGATTGGTTGATTATTGAAATTGGACTGTCTCGCCCGTGTTATGTTTCCTTTCTTATATAGGCTACTGGGTTGGGATGCTTTGAAATACCTAGAGATAGGATTCTTAACCTGTATCAAGTCTTGGTTCCTCTGAGAAGCTGATGAATGATGCTTGAGCCATTCCCCAGAAGACACATGTATAGTCACAAAAGTCAGGCAGTTCTGGCCTCTGCATGGCTCCCTGGTCAAGACTCCCTGAGCCAAAGAAGCAGGGTTGTACCTAGAGTAAGAGCCCTTTCCTGGGCTTGCTCCTCTCACGTGTCCGTTCGCCCTCCTAAGAACCCTGTGAGGTAGAAGGGAGGGAAGGGGCGGGTGTCCATTTGGTAGATGAGGACACTGAGGCCCAGCAGATGAGTGATCCCGCTCAGGCCCTCAGCGAGGCCCGCAGTGTGGGAGGAGAGTGGCCCCACTGCTGGCGAGCCAGCTGGTGGCCTGGGAGACCCGGTCCGGCCCTGTGAGTCAGCCCTAGATGGGAACCTGCGTAACTGGAGAACTTCCCTGGGATGAGCTGGGATCAGAGGGGGAAACTGAGTCATGAGGCATGGGGAAGCAGAGAGAGAATGGCTGGCAATGCTTACGCCGCTAAAGAATGGTCCTCGCCCCCTGCCCCTCACCAGGAGCTGGGCTCCCCACCCCACGAGGACAGCAACCTGATGCTGCACCTGCAGCGCCTGGAAACCACCCTGAGTGTGTGTGCTGAGGAGCCGGACCACAGCCAGCTCTTCACCCACCTGGGCCGCATGGCCCTGGAGTTCAACAGGCTGGCCTCCAAGGTGCACAAGAATGAGCAGCGCACCTCCATCCTGCAGGTGAGGCTGGCCAGGGCAGGGTCGCCCGGGAAGACCAGGGTGCTTCCTTCTCCACCTCCTCCAGCTCTTCTTGGGAACCCACGGTATCTCGGGGACTTCCGAGAATGACGTTGATGTTGGGGGCTGCCTTTGGGCTTCTCTTTTGTGGTGGTGAGCAGGGTAAGGAAGTTGTGGGAAGGAAGGAGGAAGAGGAAGGAAATTGGGAAATATGGGGTGGGCAGTGCAGATTTCCTGGCTCGGGTATCCTAGGGCCCGGGATGTGGGCAGGGTGGCGACAGCCCCGGCTTGTTTTCCACAGCCAGGTGGGTAAAGAGAGGGAACAAAGGTAGGGGGACCATTGTTATTTCCACCTCACAGGTTGGGACACAACCCTTGAGAAGCGATTTTTTATTTTTTATTTTTTTTGGCCTAAGGTTGCCCAAGCTGGTAGATGGTGCACTTGGGATTTGAATGTCAGCCTGTCATATTCCAAAGCCCATACTCTTAACCACCGCCCCAAATTACCTCCCCAGGAGAGGAAGCTTCCTTTCATAACCTTCCTTGTGCCATGGGAATGAAGTCAGATTTACTTCGCAGGCCAGCCCAGGCCTTGAAGCCATGTGGTCCTTGGTTGAAGCAGTGACTCTACTGCAGAATGACCTTGGACAAGTCACTTACCCTCTCTGTCCTTCACTGTCCCTATCAGTAGCATGGCTCTGGGAATGCCTACCTCACGGGATTGCCGTGACTGTTCAATGAAGTGCCTGGTACAGCCTAGAACCCAGTAAGCATTTGGAAAGTGGTCAGTGTTAGGATTTGATCGGGACCAGACGTTTGTCCTGGGCAGGGGATCTTAGCCTTGAGGGGCTTGGGGATAGGAAAGAAGTCACAGATGGTGAAACAGAGGCTCCTAGAGGACCCGAGCACCTGTCCCCTTAGTTGACAGAGCTATTCCTCCCTCCTAAATACTCCTACACCACGCACTGGTCTGAGGCTTCATTCACGTCAGCCAGCATTCAAGCGCCCAGTCAGTGGCGAAGTCTACCATATGCAACCTTGAGAAGGGCCTGGGTTGAATGGCAAGAGCGAGAGGGGCATCCAGGCTGGAGACACAGTGTGAGGAGAAGTGTGGGGAGCAGAGGACTCCAGGGAGAGCGCAGGAGCCCCCTTCCACCCCGAGTGAGGGGTGCGTTGAGGGGCAGGCTGGAGAGCTGGGCTGTGGGAGAGATTCTCAGATGTCAGCGAGGCTGAGGGGTGTCAGGGCTGAGCTCTCGGGAGCTGAACCGGGTGCACTGCGTGCGTGGGTGAGGTGATTTTCACTGTCAGCTTTTCGGGTTTGAAATGGAGATCCACTCTGGGCCTCATGTAAGGGGGTTGTGTCAACCTCTGTTACTTTTCATATCAGGCCTCTGTTGGTTTCCTTCTTAGATTGTCCCATAGTTTGTAGTAATTTTATTTTATTAGGTGGTTTATTTACTTTGTGGTTTTTTGCCTTGCACTTCCTGCTAGATCGTAAGCCTCACAAGAGAGGCAGGTACCTCGTCTGTCATATTCATCACTGTATCCCAGTGCCTGGCACTTAATAGGTGCTTAATGCACGTTTGGTGAACAGATGAGTGAATGAACGAACAGACTAACACACTCACAGGTGAACTCTCTTAGCCCCTTTGATGGAGTGTGATGACGTTTGTGACGACCTTTCTCCATCGGCCGCTTTGTGCCAAGGGCATTTTCCCAGGAACTTGGAGGAAACAGCCCTCTAGCCTAGAAGGGTGGACAGCACAAGAGGCCACGTTCTGGACTTCCTTTAGAGGCCAGGAGCAGGACATTCTGTTCCCTGGAGGCCCCACCCAGGGCTGTGGCACGCTGGGTATTTGCCCCACCTATGGGAAGAGGCACATTCATCCAGTTCCTCTTCATTCACTTGTTGATTTGTTTTTTGGTTTACTTGACAAACATTTTCAAGGCTGGATATTGTGCAAGGCGTCTGCTAGGCATTGGAACCAATTACAGTAGTTTTCTCTTCTCTTTGCCTTGGACCCCTCATGCCTGACAAGCCCCCGGTTTCAGGCTTTGATGCCTTCCCAAGTCTCTCCTGCAAACCAAACAACTCTGAAATCGCTGGAGAACATAAAAGTTTTCTCTCATTCCACGTGGCAGGGACTTGTTTCTCCTCCACAGTTAGTTTGGTGGCCCATTTATCTCGTGCACTTTGGAATACGAGGCACCGATGGCCACCGGGGACAAGAGGCCAGGCGGGACACATCACTTCCACCTGTCTTTCCTTGGCCAGAACTAGTCATATGATTGCCCCGGGGGAATGGCAATGGAAGGGAACGCGTGGAATGTCTGATAAATTTCAGAGTCCCTGACCCCTGCCCAGCTCACGGCCATTGTTACCTCCCTTCTCTGCTCTTAATTACGTCTGGAGGAGAGAGGGAGAGAGACCAGGTGAGGGCCTGCCAGATCGAGTTTAATGCCCTTGGTGGTTTTTAACAGCTGTGCAACCTCATGCAAATTAATTCACCTGCATTAGCCTACTTTTAAAATAGAGATGAATTATGTAGCTTTGCGGACGTTGTGAGGCTCCGATGAGGGATGAGGCAGTGAGTGGAAGAGCACCCAGCCATGTACCTGGCACGGTTAGGTGCTCACTAAGTATTTGTTGAAAGATTGAGTACTTAGTAATGACACGGTGCAGCGCCATTACTATTTGGTATTCCCCCCCACCATCAGTGAGACCCTGAGTCTGGTTGTCCATCTTCCTTACCACCTCCCTCGAAGCGCTTGGAACACAAGTCCTTGGATATTATCAAGTGATTGACAGTTCACAAGATGCTGGCCCTCTCATGGTCTTGTTTGTCCTCATAGCTCACATTACTGTGTCTCAGAGGCAAAGGAGGCCTGGGCCACACCTGAGGAACTGGTGAGATCTTGACCCAATATCCTGTTTTTTGACTTGCCTGCTGACCACACTGGAGGCCTTGCCTGCTTTCCGAATTGACAAAGCTCCATAGGGTACCTAGGTCTCAGTTCATTTATTCATTTGGCCATTCAGTCATGTGTTCCTTCAACAGAGTTAAGTGTCAGCCTGTGCTACGTCCTGAGTTGGGGCTGGGACCAGAGAACGGGGAGGGGGTCCCAGCCCTTTAGTTGCTCACAGACTTGTGGAGGGGGTAGGAGTTGGATATTAAGAAAATAAGGACATGAAGCTCTAATTGTCACAAGTACCAAGAACAGGAGGCTCTGAGCAAGGATGATGGAGGTGAGCTAACTCATTGAGATGTGGAAGTCAGGGAGGACTTCCTTGAGGAGGTGACATTTAGGCTGACCTGAAGCAGAAGTAGAAATCAGACAGGGGAAGGCCTGTGGGGAAGAGCGTTCTGTGTGTTCTAGGATGTGGGGACAGCAGTGAAGGAGAAGGAATGGAGCTCTCTGCCTTGGAGTTGATTCTCCACAAGGTCCTTAGGCTGATTCTCGGTTGGGCATCCTCCGAGATGGCTGGCTCCTGGGGTGCATAAAGGAGCTGGGTGGGCCTGGTGGCTTGGCTCTCAGCTGTTCTGAGAGGGGCTGGGTCAGGCCGTGCAAAGGCAATGATGTTTAGGGACCTGGTGTGGCTGTAGCCCCTGTCCTGTCCTCCAACATCAACCTGCCCTAAGGAGGCACCCCTACCCTTTCCCTGCCCTTATTTACCCCTGTGTCCTGCAGACCCTGTGTGAGCAGCTCCGGAAGGAGAATGAGGCCCTGAAGGCCAAACTGGACAAGGGCCTGGAACAGCGGGATCAGGCTGCCGAGAGGCTGCGGTAAGTCCAGGCTCCTCAGAGCAGAGGTGAGGAGTCGGATGGCCAGGAGGAGGGGTGGTGCGTGGCCCTGATTTCCAGACTGAGGCCTCTGAGGCCTGCGCCCAGAGCCCTGCTTTGGATGTCTCTCGATTCTTCTCTTTGGGTACCTTGGGGAGCGTCTGTGTATAAAGTGCATTGAGAACTTCAAGCAGGCCTGTACAGATGGCACTTCTTTCTTGGGAACTTGCCCCTAAGCCTAGCCTGTTTACAGCTGCTTACTGGCTGTAGGAGAGAGGGCTTGGGACTTTGCTCCCCCTGCTGGTCATCATTCTGTTTGCAGAATGTTTTCCTGAGAACAGTCAGGGCTAGTGGGTCCCAGACTTGCTTATGCATCAGGATCGCCGAGGGTCAGGCAAGGCATACAAGTTCACACTCCCTTCCTTCCTCTGCCAGAATTCTGAGCCCAGGGGTCTGAGGCAGGACCTAGGCATCTGCATTTTCTAAAGGGCCTCTGTGACCATGATGTAAGTTGGCCCAGGATCACATTTGAGAAACACTGATCTTGACCGTCAGAACTCGAAGGGCCCTTTGAGATCATGAGGACTAACCTTTTACTTCATTGTGCAGAGGGAGACTGAGTCCCAGACACAGACATGTGAGGTCCAAATCGAGTAATGTACAACTGCTGAGCCACTGTGCCACTTTGAATCTGCATGTATTTATTTACTTCCAAGCATCTGGAGTTTTATAGCTACAGTGACTCTATCCATGGATCCAAAAAACTCAGGCTGGAGGAAAGACTCATGACCAGATGGCAAGAATCCAAGTCCGTGCTGTGTGACCTGGGGAAAACCACTTTACTTCTCTGTTTTTCTGTCATCGTGCAGAAACCCAGCTGGCAAACAGAGCTTAAAGAAACATTTTCTATATTTCAGTCACACCTGAATCCGCATTGCCACTTTTATTACATCTTTATCACCTACCTTCTTATTATTTATTTGAGAATTTAGTTTGGACCATGTTTTTTGACTTAAATTCATTATAAAGTAAGCTTTCACTAAGTGGAAGACAGCATTACCTCTAATAAGTAAACTGTAACTCCAACAATATATTCAATGAAAATGGGAGGACATTCGTAAAGTCTGGCAAAGTCCCATTGCCCATGAAGGCTCCGAGCCTGAAACCTGCTCTCTCTCTCTCTCTTTTAACGAGGGAGACTGGAGAGCACGGGAAAGGTGCTCAAGGCCTATTAACATCAAACTGAGACTTGTCCCATCCTCTACACAGGAAGTCCAAACATAGTTGGAAAAAATGTACCTTTCTCACTAGAGTGTGGTCCAGGGTTACTTAATGCAGGTTTGGATGCGTCCTGAAGGCCTCCTATCTACTGTCATCCCACTGCTGGGGAAGCCCTGCCGTTGATTGGCGACCTCTAGGGAGGCCCACAGATGGCCACAAGTGGCTTAAGGATGCCCTTTTTGGTTCCACCTGAGAACAGGTTTCAGGGTCTTGCCTTACACCCCAGGACTCAGCTGCCACTCAGATGAGTAGTGGGTCCGAGGCCCCTGGCCTCCCCAGCCCAGGACCAGCAACGTGACCTCTGTGTTTGCCTTTGACCCAGGGAGGAAAACATGGAGCTCAAGAAGTTGTTGATGAGCAGCGGCAAAGAGGACGCCTGCGGGCGGCCAGGCTCGCCGAAGGTGGAAGGCGCAGGCAAGATGGGGGTGGCCGGACAGTCGCAGGTATGTGGTCAGAAGCTCCTTCCACAGTGTCCCCGGGGGCCGGCGTCCAGCCACTGTGGCCGCCTGCTGTGGCAGTGAGCTCACCACCTCCTGCTGCAGCCAGCTCCACCATTTGGAGATTTTAGCTGTTAGGTGGCTTTTCCTGGGCTTTTGACAGTCCACCTCCCTGGCGCTTCCACTGCCTTCCTCTGCCTTCAGGCTCACGGGACATCCGTTCCCTGTGACACACACTCAGGCTGCCGGCCATGACCGTGGCTCTGTGCCCCCTACAAGCCCTGTCTTTTCCAAGCTGAGTAGCTCTACTTCCTCCGGCCTTTGCTCATAGAAGGCGGTGGCGAGTCCTTTGATCACTGTGAACACATTCCCTAAACACATCCCCGTTTGTCAAGGGTGGCTCCCAAAATCAGTCTCACATCTCAGATATTCTGGGCAGAATTAGGGTGCTAGCCCCTGCCAGCCTCTCAGGGGGCTCTGCTAAGATCCTGTGATTCTGTCCTGGAGCCTCTGACATGGAGAGAGGAGGGCATGGCTGGGTAACGCCACCAGGCTGGCCCGCTTGCCCCCCCCCCACCCTGGCCCACAGCCCCCCGCCCTCGCCCTGGCTCACACGCAGTCCCCGAGCAGGAGCTGGCTCTCCCCTCCCTGGCCTGGCTGTGCCTTTCCCCTGGCTGCAGTACAGGACTTGATGTCTCTATCAAGCCCCACACCTATGTAATAGTTGCAATTATCCAAATAACTTAATTACTTGTTACTGAAGAGTTTACCGAAGGCTGGTAAACCCATTGTTCTGGTTGGATCCCTTCTCTGTGTGTAAGGTAGGAAGGCCAGGACTATTACTCTATGACCCAGCTATGCCAGGAGTCTGGAAAGGGTGACCTTCCAGAGGTCGCGTGCCATCCTGCACACTTGCTCTCCGGCAGGCCTGGGGTCCAGCAGGGAGCCGTGCAGGGAAGTGGCCTTCTGAATCCTGCCCGAGGAGCCCCTCTCTGCTTCGTTTACCCTCACGTCAGAGCCTGCCCTGTCTGCCCTCTTGTGGAAGTGACTTGGGGACTCCCCTGATCTCCCCTGGGTCCTTGGGGTTCTGTGGACAGGCCTCTTCATTTTTCCAAAGCCCTTTAATGTCAACTCATCTCACTTGACTTCCTGGAAAGGCCAGATACTCTTACCATCCTGCCCAGAGGAAGGCACTGTGGGAGGCATGGCCAGCGGTGGAGCCTGTGCCCCAGAGTCCAGCGTGGGTGGAATGCTGCTGCCACCCTGAACAAGTTACATACACCTCCTGGCCTCCGTCTCCTCCTCTGCATAATGGAGATACTAACCTACGTCAGCGGGTTCCAGGTTGTGATGCCTGTAGAGTAGGTTTAGTGCTTGGCACGTGGTCAGCCGTCATTAGCTGTTGATTTTAATGGCAGATTGGGTGCCAGCAGCCAAGTAATCTGACTCCTACCTCTTCTTTGTGGAGGTTAAGAGCGTACTCTCTCGAGCCTGGCACGCCCCCGTTTCTCCTTCCCCAGTAATGCTAAGCACAGCGCCCCCTGCAGGAGGCCCCCCAGCCTGCTCCCTTCGTTCCTGTCCTGTGGTGTGCTCACCCACCTTAGCCTGCAGGGGAGACTTGAGCCTCCCAGGTTCTGCCCTCAGGGCTCACTCCCAACCTTAGAGCCCTGCACAACCATAGCTCAGCGATCAAAACTAGAACACGAACTTGGGCACGGTACTGCTAACGAAACTGCAGACGTTTCAGGTTTCACCAGTTTTCCATTCATGTTTTTCTGTACCAAGATTGATTCCAGATCCCACGTTGTATTTAGTTGTCATGACTCTTTAGTCTCCTCCAGTCTGTATCACGTCCCAGAGGTGCCTTGTCTCTCATGAGCTTGACACTGTGGGGTTTCCTGGCCTGTCATTTTGTAGACTGTCCCTCAGTTTGGGTTTCATGGACGTTTTCTCACAATTGGCTTGAGGTAGTGGATTCGGGCAGGAGCACCACGGGAGTGACCTTGTGCGTCGTGTCGAGGCTGTGTGATGCCAGTGTGTCTTATCTCTGCCAACCGGGGTGACGTGGTGGAGTGGGCGTCTATCAGGTTTCTCCATAGAAAGTGGTGTATTTTCTCTCTGTAATTAATAAGTACTTATTTCTGAGGAGAAACTTCGAGGCTGTGCGAATGTCCTGTTTCTCCTTACACTTTCGCTCACTGATTTCGGTATCCGTAGGTGAATCTCGCTGCAGTGGTTATGATTAACTGTGGTATTGGAATGGCAATTTTGTGTTTCCCTCTTTCCTTCTGCAGTCACTGATTGGAAGTCTTTCTGTAAGGAAGAGTTGTCCCTTCTCCCCACCTAATTATTCAGCTATTTCTTTCTACCAGTATGGATTCAAGGATCTTTATTTTATTCTTTGGGTTATAATCCAATACCATCATGATTTATTTTCTTGTTCTCATTGTTCCAGCTTGGCTATAGGAAGCTCTTTGAAGTTGTCTCCTATGCGCATTTGACATGCCATTATTATTGTTATTATTATTAAGTGCTTTCTTACTTTCTGGCTTCATTAAGATGCTCCAAACCCATTCCCTGCCCCGGCCCTGGAATTAACCACTTGTCCAAGGAACCCTGTCCCCTTTTTGTTGGGGAATGGTGTCTAGAAGCCAAGATCTGTGCGCTAGGTGTGCACATTGCTACTGCGGTGTCACTGCTTTAGGCTCTCTCAGAGGACAGATCTAGGAAGTACATGTACACGTACTAATCATACATACACACACCTTTATTTTTGTAATTTTCTAAAAGCATTTTAAAATAATCATTTTATAAAACACTTAAAAACAGATCACTCTTGCCTTCCAGACCAGCGGATGGCCCGTGGCCGTCGGGGTGGGGGGAGGCAGGTGGCAGTACTTAAGAGCTAGAGCCTCAGCCGGGAAAGAAGTGGCTGCGAGGCAGGGGGGCCAGGTGTTGGGCAGGTGGGCCTGTGAGCTGCTGCGGGGCCGGGGCGGGTGGGGGATTGTGATCTCAGGGGGCTTCCCCAAGGGGCCTAGTCATGGCGGGTTGTGTAGCGTGTCCTGGTGGATGGGAGGGTAGAGAGATGGGAGACTGAGTGAGGGGCTTAGAGGGGCTCTGAGTGGTGAGAGAGTAGTTATTCGAGGCTTTGCTAAAGGCCCCCCTGTGCTTCTCCCCAGGCCAGTGTGACAGCAGGTAAGATCCCAGAGGTGGGAGTCTTGGGTGCAGCTGAGAAGAAGGTGAAGATGCTGGAGCAGCAGCGCACAGAGGTAGGTGGCCTCCTGGGACCCAGAGGACACAGGCCCCACCATGGCTCTGGCTCGCCCTTAGTCACCATGGTGAGTTGCCATGGTGATCACTGAACCATCTGGTCATGGGAGAGACCAGCCCTGGTCTCTTGTCTCTTGATCAGTCCCCTTGCTGACAAGGGTCATGCTGAGGAGGAGGTGGCATTTGGGGCACAGCCTAAAATTGTTGGCAGGGGAGGGATAGTTTAGGAACGCTAAACTCTGAATGGTAGAAAGAGGTTGCGATAAGGTAGGTGAGCTTTAGCCTCAGGAATAGGGAGCCTGGCATGCATCTGTCACCACGTAGCTGGTCTAGGGAGGGACTGTCATAGCAGGAGAAATCCCATGCCTTCTCGTGGCACCACTTCTAACCAGCTGAGAGTCTTCGGAAGTTGAGGTCACTCCCTTGTGCCTCCTGCCTGTCTGTCTGCCGTCTCCCACCCCCAGGCCACATTCCGGGTGGAGCCAGGCCCTCTCTGTCCTCTCAGCCCGTCCTCTCCACAGAGTTCAGGCTCCTCTCCCGGGCCCTGGGCCCTTCTGCCTCCGTGGGCCACCAGCACATTCGGAAGTCGGGCTCCCTTAGTCTTTTGCTTACGTGCACATTAATTTTAGTTTTCTGATTGTATTGCCATAAGGCAATATAAAAAGATTTGAGAATCTCATCTCCTAAAGATGACCACAGTTAACAACAATTCATTACAGATTCCTTTTTTTCTTCTATGTACTTACTGATCTAGAACCCGTTTTTTAAAATGGCAGAAAAAAATCATACATACTGCATTGAAAATTTTTTCTTTTTCTTTAAAATAAACTACTTTGAAGGTGTATATAAGTATATATAAAAATACACCTTCAATTCTGAGTGCTTTTTATTCTGTATTTCAGAAATTGGGATACCCTTTTCAATTACTTTACTTATTTAATGATGTGGGGTTGTTTTTTGTCCCTGAGGAATTGTCATGTTGAGAGAATGGCAAGCAAGTAGTGCCATCATCTTAGAACTGAGGCAGCGTGTGGGTTTTCGGAATAGCTACACAGTGCTCCATTGGCTGACTATCTTGTACTTTCCTGTGCTTAGTTTGGCCTCTAGATTTTTTTATAATACAAACATTGTTGAGTTGTCAGTGCAGTACATAGATTTTTATGTGCAAGTGTTTCTCTTGGTTACTTTTCTTTAGACTGGAATTACTGGGTTAGAGAGAATGAAATTTTTTTTTTTTATGCATAGTCCCAAACTACCCTGTAAATGGGTATGTTTTACATAATTGTACACAGAACTTATGGACTGTTTTTGTGTCTTGGTGGTAGTCTCACCGTCCTGGCAGCGATAAAAGATGGCAGTTGATAAAGGGGAACCTCTTTGAGCCATGTTGAGTTGTTGAGAAGCAGGGGCTTGAGGCAGTGGCGGTAGCCAGCGTTCGCATAGCCGGCACGCTCCTCGGGAAGGTGGTGTGCACGGAGGTGGCTCTCTGTGGTCCTTCTCTGCTTATCCCCTCCCAACCCCCATCTCTCCCCACAGCTGCTGGAGGTGAACAAGCAATGGGATCAGCATTTCCGGTCCATGAAGCAGCAGTACGAGCAGAAGGTAGCGTGGGAGTTATGGGAAGACAAGGCTGCACCCAGGTTCTCGGCTGCCGTCAGCGCATCCCCACTGTCCTGCTTGCTGCTTCCTTCTCAGCAGCTTTGAACAATCGCCCTCATGCACCCCATCCCTCTGCCTCTGAACCCAGATCACTGAGCTGCGCCAGAAGCTGGCGGATCTGCAGAAGCAGGTGACTGACCTGGAAGCTGAGCGGGAGCAGAAGCAGCGTGATTTTGACCGCAAGCTCCTCCTGGCCAAGTCCAAGATTGAAGTGGAGGAGGCAAGTGTGACTCCTGGGCCCCGCGGGTTCAGCTCCAGGAGGCCTTCTCCTCCCTCCCTACTAACTGGGAGCTCAGTGGCGTAAACGAGGTGGGGCAGGAGTCGGAAGACCCGGGGTTCCAGCTCTGGCTCTGGCGTTAAAGGGCTGTGTGGCCACAGGCAAAGGCACGTTCCTTCCCTGTGCCCCAGTTTCCCTCTAAAAGTGGAGAAGATTGGGTTAGTGATTGCTTTTATATTTTCTTATTTTCCTTCAGGGGGACTTTTTGTTCAATTAAAATCTTATGGGCTAAGGAAGCAGAATATCAGAGAGAGAGAAGGCAGGCCCTGGCGCACTGGCTGGGGGCGGGGTGCTGTTGGTGGGAGTTGTGATGGCTCACTGTGGGGGAGGAGCGTAAACAAGAGACAGAGCTTCTTGATTTGTTCGTCGAGTCATTGTTCAGCAGAGCGTGCACTTGGCATCATGCCGGGCACAGAGACTCAGCGGTGAACAGTCCAATCCCAGCTTTGAGGGGGGGAAAAGACACTAAACAATGGATTACAGAAGCAAATTAGCAGAAGTGTGTTAAGTATTAAGGACTACACAGGAGAAGTTACAGGGATCAGGGAGAGGGCAGAAACAGGAACCAGATTCATTCTGGGGGGCCAAGAATGCTTTCCCTGAAGCAGTAGCATCTGATCTGTCATGCGTGCGACTGATACCAGCCACGGCCCTGCAGGATCCTGTTACAGCTTAAAGAGGAAAGGCCATTTGACCCCCAGACTCGTGGGAGGTTTTATGTTGCAATGTCTTCCTTTTCATGGGAACTGGGCCCAGGCTGTTACTGTTTAGCTTAAAAGTGGACATTTTCAACGCAGACTGCACTTCAGAGTTCCCTCTCATCGGCATGGGACACCCAGGGGCCTTATCTGAGCTGTCAGCCTTTCTCCGTGGCTGCCCCTCCCCTTGAAGACAAGTGTTGGGGAGGACACTGCTATCTTTTCTCTTGAATGCTGTCACATCTTGTGACTGTCAGCAAGACCCCTGGCTCTTTGGTCCCGTCCCCTGGCTCACATCAGTGGGCGGACCTGACAGCATCTCCCTCAGCTGGGGGAGAGCATGGGCATGAGGTGGCAGAAGCCACGCTAACCCTGGGGCGTCCTTAGCAGGAGTCCTGACAGCGCCCACAAGCCCTGGCCGAGGTGCCCTCAGCCAGCTACGGCTGCCGTCCCGTTTTGAACACTTTCTCTGACTTGCGAGCTGAGGGAGAGCCCCAGAATCAAGAGACCTGGGCTCAAGCCCCAGCTCACTGTGTAGCCAGGGATAAGTCACCTTCCCTCTCCCCGTAGTCATTTCCCGTCACATAAAGGGGCTAGGACTTGATGCCATCTACAGGCCAATTCAGCTGTGGCCGTCTGCAGTGAAGAAGCCCTGATTGTTCCATAGTGGGGGTGGGGGTCAGCGCCTCCACCTTGAAGCCTTCCCTGATTTCTTCTCGACTATAGTGTTCTCTCCTTTAACTTAACAGTGCTGTTTCTATGTGGAGAACACTCTGGGCCTTATGCTGCGTTTAAGTCTTTGAGCGTCTCCCCTCCTCCAGGTTCAGAGACTGTAAGAGCAGAAAGGTCCTTTAGAGAGGCTCAGCAGTTCTCACTTTCAGTGTGTCACAGCAGATGCCTGTGCAAATCTGGAAGAAACTGGGGCGTTTCTTCCTAGCAAATTGCACAGAGAAATTTTCACATTCAGTTTTGGGGCTCTCAGACCTCCTGAAGCGCACCTGTGACTCATGTTAGGAAGCCCTTACCTGTGGCAGACAGGTAAGATTAGACCAGGCAGGGCTGTGACAGCGCCCCAGGTGTCAGCCGGCTGGGGGAGGAGCTGGTGTCAGAGCCCCGGGCCTGTCACTCACCAAAATGGGCCTTCCTGCCCTCAGCCCCAGGTGCCTTGTGTGTGAGCGCTGAGGGCTGCTGAGTAGGGGCGAGGGCGGGGTGCGCCTGGGTGAGTGTGGGGCAGGCAGGGCCAGGGGCCCCGGCCTCCTGGAGGGGCTTCCTGCTGACCAAGCTGTGCTCCCTGCAGACCGACAAGGAGCGGCTGTCCACAGAGGCCAAGGAGCTGCGCAAGAAGGTCAGGCACCTGCAGGATCAGCTGAGCCCCCTGACCCGGCAGCGGGATTACCAGGAAAAGGAGATCCAGCGACTCAACAAGGTGGGCGCCTCGGCCCTGGTCCCTCGGGCAGGCAGAGCTTCCCTGAGCCCAGCTACCACACCCCGCCGTCACCAGCACCCCTGACCCTCAGCTCGACTGGGGTGCGTCTGGGTCAGGGCGCTGGCGCCGGGGGCCTCGGTGCCGCCCTGAGATTCCCCTGCCGCTGCCTTTCCCTCCCCGCACCCTGAGTGGCCAGCCTGGGACGAGCCTCTGCCCGGCCCCTCTCTGCCCTTGGGCGTGCTGTTTCCTCACACAGTGCCACGCTGCTCAGGTCAGCGAGGCCTTCCCGGAATCTTACTCAGGTCACCCTGTTCTATGCCCCTGGGGTTCCGACAACACCTTTCACGCCCCTTCTCGCATTTTCTTGTGATTACTTATTTAACATTCTGTTTTCTCATGAAGTGGTGGGACGTGCGTGTCTTCTCTAGGACATAGCCCCCTGGCGCCTGGCACAGTGCCTGGCACCAAGCACGCGTCCAGAAAGTACTCGCTGCTGGGAGTGGATGACCAGGGGCCTGAGGGCTCCCGCCCTTGCGGAATGGGATCCAGGGAGACGGGGCGCCCAGGGTGGGCTGGGTAAAGTAGGAGCCCTGTCCTCTGAGCCAAGGCGTGCGGCAGTGGGCTGGGCCAGGCCCGTCCTCTCTGGGCCTCCACATTGCCCTCCGAGCCCTGGCTGGACTCGTTCCAGCCCGGACCCCTTTCCCATGCAGGAGTCAGAGGGAGGCAGCGACAGGAGGGAACTTTGAAAGGAAACGTCCTCTGGAGTCCTGGAGGAGCCGTTCCATCATGGGCCAGCTTTTCCCTCCCTTGTGGTTTTGGTGTTTGAAAAGCATTGATTATGCTGAGTCTGAGGTCCTTGGGACTTGATCTCAGAGAACAGAATGATTTGTCCTGAGCTAGGGGATTTGGGGTCTAAATCCAGGCAGAATATGGTCCATGGCGCTGGTCACAGAGATGGCACAGGCAGGATCACTGCCCTCCAGGTCTCCTTGGTGTAGCTGGGGACAGAGACACAGGTGTGGATGACGGGTGCGAGGCTCTCCCTGCCCCTGGACCTCCGTCCTCTCACCAGAACATGGGGCAGAGGGAGTAGGAGGTGGGAGGGAGCCACAGCCTCCCCTCGCGCATCCCGAATGGACTCCTGGCTCAGCTGTTTGCCTGTGTTTCTCGGGGAGTCAAGGGGACCAAGTGTGGGCTCTGCTGACCCACAGCGAGCAGAGGCCCTGCTGTCCCTGGGGCTGAAGTTCAGTGGTGACGAGGGTGGCCCATCTTGAGAGGTGTTGCAAAGTTCTCAAGTGGCACGTTAACAGGGTTGAAGGAGGAAATCCGTCAGTAGAAACCTTTTAAGGTGTGAGCAAGTTGAAATTAAAATTCAGTCTAATCTGATGGCAGAAGGGTTGAGGATGGGAGGGTTGGCTTGGTGGGAATGGGTTGTAGAAGCGGAAGATCTTCAGGCAAGGCAGCAGTCGAGGAGACTGAAGATTCCCCTGAAGGACTTAATATTCCTTCTAGGTCTGGGTGCTGGGATTGAGCCACACGTGCTCAGGGAAAGGGAAATTCTCCCTTCTACATGAAGACCCCAGTTTAGGCTGCTGGTTAACGGCACATGCTAGATTTGAATCCCCACGTTGCTACTTAACTAGCTCTGTGACTTTGGACAAATCATTTCAGGCCTCCCAACCTCAGTTTTCACATCTGGAAAATGGGGATGATAGTCTTCCCAGGACTGTGGAGCGGATTCAATGAAATGATAAGTGTATAGTGTTAATAAATAGGGTAGCATTTTATAAAATAGCACTGGTGGTGGTGGTTATTATTATTATCATCATTAGCATCAGGAAGCAGGTCCCTGAGGATGACCCTGCCAGGAGTGCCCAACTTTCAGGGCTTCTGCTGATGGGCCCATCTTCTCTCTTCCTGATCTCAGGCCCTAGAGGAAGCACTTAGCATCCAGGCCGCCCCGTCATCTCCACCAACAGCCTTTGGGGGCCCTGAGGGAGCCGGGGGCCTCCTCAGGAAACAGGAGCTGGTCACGCAGAACGAATTGCTGAAGCAGCAGGTGAGCCCGAGGGGAGGAGGCCAGGTGGGAGGTGCCCGATGGGAGCTGGAGCACCCCTGAGCACCCAGGAGGTGCTTGGAATCATGTGGGAGCTATAGTTAGTAGCTCACTTTCTAGCTGTTGGCCAGCACCCTGGTCTGGTTAGAGGTTTATCCTTTCCAGCAGTGTGTCCTTCAGTAGGTCGTTTCTCTGCCACCTCTAGGATTTAGCCATTCTTATACCCCGACTGTGCCATGATTTACCTAGTATGTTAAGAATAAATTTTAAATAAATTACTTCCAATAAATGTAATTAAAAGGGAGCTTTATATCACTACTATAAATAGAAAAACCTGTTTATTTGCATAAATAAAAAGTCTCTGTAAGCAAGAAATACAGGAAAAGCCAGTGTTAAACTCTAGCTGGATACTCTTGTCTGATAAAGACTCTGAACTTGAGTCCCCTTTGCTGTCATTTAAGGAAAATTCACACATACTCGAGAGGCATTAAAGGCCCACTAGCATAAAATGAAGACTTTCTCCTTGAGGGACACAGGAGGTTTGAAAGGTGCTTGAAAAGGTCATAGCTGTCCTGTGTGTCTCTGCGTGGTGCTGTGCTGTGGGTGCTGCTAAGTCACCTGGAACCAGTTAGGATTTGAATCCGCAGGTGCAGAGGCAGAGCCCCGTCTCAGCCCCTTCCCCGCCAGGCACCCCTGGAGCCTGGGGGGAATTTTGCAGGCCTTGTGCTCTTGGAGGGTCTTCCATCCACACTCTGGTCCCACGGCCTCCACCTCTGGGACCGAAGCAGAGAGAAGGGACCGGACTGTGTAATGGCCAGAGATCTCTTGTTTAAACGAAGCCCTGTGTTGAATATAAAACTAAGGGATCCAGAAGGACTCTGTAGTTGAGGAGGGCGGGGAGGCTGTCAAGATGCGGTGACGCCAGCTCTGACGTCTGTGACTCCCAGCAGCAGGCCCAGGGCTCCACTCAGCTGCCCCTCCTCCCTTACCGCGCCCCCTGCCCCCCAGGTGAAGATCTTTGAGGAGGACTTCCAGAGGGAGCGCAGCGACCGTGAGCGCATGAATGAGGAGAAGGAAGAGCTGAAGAAGCAGGTGGAGAAACTGCAGGCCCAGGTCACCCTGTCGAATGCCCAGGTGAGAAGAGCTGGCCCACGGAGGGGGCCGTTGGCCGGTCCTCGTGCTGGCCGGGGGCATGGATTGGAGGGTCCCTGGGGAGGCCGGATGTCAGATCACTCACTGCTTCTCCTTCCAGCTCTGCTACCAAGTTCCTCAGTATCTCAGCAAGACACCCCCCCCCCCCACTCTGACCTCTGGCTCTGACTTTCCACTATCGCTTTCTATGCCTTTGAAAAGCCAATTTAGGGATTGGCCCTGAGTCTCCCACTGTTTCTCAGCGTGCAACTAAAAAGTGTTAATATGGAAGCCCAGAAACACTGAGCTCGCTGGAGCCCTTCTGACCTGTGTACAGTGAACAGGCCTTACCTGTGGCCACCAGCCCGGACTGCGCTCTGCCCCACAGGGCCCTTCCCCAGGGCTGGGACAGGGAGGGAAAGCCAGGCGGGTGGCCCCGTGCATCTGCTGGTCAACCCGGGGGCTGCGTAAGCCCTGAGTGCAGGCTTGGCCAGGAAGCGCTGGGGCCAACAATCATCTCTCCCTCCTTTCTTCTCTTAGCTAAAAGCATTCAAAGATGAAGAGAAGGCGAAAGAAGCCCTCAAACAGCAGAAGAGGAAGGCAAAGGTGAGGGGTCTTGAGGAAGGAAGCGGCACTCCCCTTGCCTGACCTCCTTCAGGGAGCTGCAGTCTGTTGGGAGAGGCGGTGTTTGTTCAGGCGCCCAGCCAGCTAATGAGGTCGTGCAGGCAGAGCACTTAGAGCAGCACTTGGGACAGGGTATTTGCTCGGGCCACATGAGCTGTCATCCTTATTGATATTCCACGCTCATGTCCCAGCCATCTGTGCCCATGTGCCAGCCTTCCCTGACCATGTACCAGTGTTCAGTGCCTACGCAGCAGCATTCTGTGCCCAGGCACCTGCCCTCAGACAACTAAAGTTCTAGAGGATGAGAGAGAGATGGGCATTGCTGGGGAGGGCCTGTGGCCGGCCGCACAGGCTGGAGCCAGACCTCAGCCTTCCTTGCAGGCCTCGGCAGAGCGCTACCACGTGGAGCCCCACCCGGAGCACCTCTGCGCGGCCTACCCCTACGCCTACCCGCCCATGCCAGCCATGGTGCCGCACCACGGCTTTGAGGACCGGTCCCAGATCCGATACCTCCCGCCCCCCGTGCCCATGGAGCACCCGCCCCCACCCCACAACTCGCGCCTCTTCCATCTGGTGAGTCTGTGACCCTTCTTCACTCCAGGGCACACGGAGGCCGCGCCAGATGCTTTCCAGAGGGCAAGGCCAAGTGAGGGGGTGTCAGGGACTCCGGCCTGGGCTCCTTCCTCACAGCACGGGTGTGCGGGCGGACGCTATCCCAGGGGCAGGGCAGTCCAGTCCAGAGCTGCTCAGCGTCACTGACGTAGGACAGGGAAGGCCAAGAGGGCGGAGCAGCGAGGAGGGCCCCCTCCACCCACCCAGCCAGGCGTGTCACAGTGGGGGTTTGGCTTTTCCTGACTCCCACCTGTAGTCAGGCGCTGCTGACCCTCGCCATGCATCCACTCCCTTTCTTTTTCTCTTCCGTCTCATTTCTTTTTTGAGTTTCTTTTTTCTTCTCTCTCTTTTTTGCTCTTTTCTTTTCCTTGCTTCTCATTCTTTCTCCCAAGAGCTGCTGTCACCTGTCTCGTCCTGTCCAGTCCCTCTGCCACAGCTCCCCCTCAGCACCCCACTCTCACTGGGACAGTGACAGCAGCCTCCTCTCCGGCCTCTCTTCCAGCTTCTCTCCCTGCGACGATTCTTTACACGCATCTTTAAACACTGGGGCATAGTGTGGGGCTTCAGGCATTGGGGTTATAGAGACCTGGATTCACGTAATCCAGAAATTTGGCCGCTTTCCTAGATGGATGACCTTTAAAAAGTTACATAACCCCTCTGAACCTCAGTTTCCTTACCTGTGAAATGAGGGTGACAGCCTGGATTGTTGTAAGGATTTGAGTAGTCGGCCCTCCGTATCCCTGGGGCCACATCCATGGATTCAGTCAACCACAGCCTGAAAATACTCAGAGAGGTAGAGGGCGTAAGGAGGGGATAAATGGTGATGGAAGGAGACTTGACCTGGGGTGGTGTACGCACAATACAATCAATATACAGACGATGCATTATAGGATTGTACACCTGAAACCTGTATAATTTTATTAATCACCATCATCCCGATAAATTCAACAAAAAAAAATATTCAGAAAAAAAACGTTACATTGTTGCTTACACGTACTGTGTAGTTAGGCCTACAATAATTGTGTCTCTGCTAAACATATACAGACTTTTTTTCCTTTGTCACTATTCCCTAAACAGTACAGTATAACAGCTATTTAGCTAGCATTTACATTGTATTATATAAGTAATCCAGAGATGATTTGAAGTATAGGGGAGGATATATGTGGGTTACATGCAAATACTAGAACATTTCACATAGGGGACTCGAACATCTGTGGATTTTGGGATCCTTGGTGGGCGGGGGGGTCCTGGAACCAATCCCTCGAGGATACCAAGGGATAACTGTATACTTGATGAATGTGTATTTAGTACCATTTTGGCACAATAGCTGCTATTGTAATTTTCAAGTGTGGTTATTGATTACTAAACACCAGTCTTGTTGCAGCCAGAATACAACTGGCGACCACCCTATGGAGGGATGCGCAATCAGACCTCCCAAGTGATGGACTCGCCCATGGCAAGGCCTGCAGAACCAGGTAAGCACGATCCTCTAGTACTGAGGACTTCTGGAAGGGCCTCAGCTGTGCAGAAATGGCGCGGGCTCTGCCAGGAGGTAGCAAGCCCCTTCTCAGAAAGTGTGCAAGCCGAGGCGGCAGGCCGCTGGTGGGAGTGTGGTTGGAGGAATTGGTGGCTGGGAGCGGGGAAGCGGGCTGCTCAGTCACTTTCTTATGTTCCCCACAGAGTCCTGGAGGCTCTGTGGGCCCCTCGGAGGCTGCTCTGATGAGAGGCAGGAGGTAGCCACATGGGCACAGCTGTCCCATCCTCCAGAAAATGCCCCACTTCCAGGATCTGGAGCCAGACCGACTAGGCTCCAATACTTTCTAGATCTGGGACTTGGGACATGTTTTTAAAAACCGCCCTGTGCCCCTGCTTCCTCCTCCTTTATAAAGGGATAGCAGTCTGCCTGCTTCATAGGGCTGAAGTGAATGGGTGGAATGATGAACGTACCTAAGGTGCTTAGCCCAGGGCTGGGCACTCAGTAAATACTCAATCACTCTAGCTGTTATTTTCACTGTCACTGTATTGGTTTCCACAGGACTTTGAAACCTACTGTACTACCTCATCTTTAAGTCTTCAAAATTTTTGTTTATTTAGACTCCACAAAAAATGACCACAAGGGGCCTCAGTGAGACCAGATTACGTCACTTGGCTCCACCTTCGTCTTGCAGAGCCAGTGGACCTCGGGTTACAAAAAAACTCGAGGTCACGTGCTCTGTGTGGCCAGAGTGTCAGCCAGACAGGAAGCTGAGATGGGCACCAACCTGAACTGTTTACAGACTGGGGAGGGTCTGCCCAGAAGGCCTCCGTCTGGGCCCGCCCTTTGGCGTGACTGGAAAAAACTCGCTGCCTTGCACCCAAGTGGAGAGAGGACCTGCCGTCCTTTGTGGAATCCGCCAGGGGACGTCAATCTCAAAAGTGGGGTGCAGCTGAGACCCCTTTCTTTCACAACTTCCCCACAAGTGGGCCAGCCCCTCCAGGAAGCACGTTCAATTCCTGTGTGTCTGATTTTTGCTTCGAGCTCTGTAGTAGCAGATGTAGACCGCGCCCATCCCTTCCCTTCTGTGAGGAACTGCGGGAAGAGTAGGTTCGCCTCTGGGAACAGAAGATGTATAACAGGATTTTGCTGCGGGGCCTCAGCCTCTGCCCAAGGCAGCCTTACTAGCGCCGCAGCAGCCTGGGATGAAGGCCATGCCAGCCACATTGGCCAAGGGGTCCAGCCTGAAGCTGCCAGTCCCTCCGCCCCACCGCTGGAGGTTTGTGGTGTTGGAGGCCCGGATTGGGGTGGCTGTCCTTGCCTGGGCAGCTCTTTGCACGAATCTTGGACATAAATCAAATGGAAGATTCTGTGACTGGTGTTTTTATGTCCCAACGAGTGTCCCCATCCCAGTCAATCCTTGTTGCCCTCTGTGCCTTTCCGCCAGTCTCCCGAGAGCATCACCATCAGCCTTGGCTGATACCCCTGGGGTCCTGCTCAGGACCCCCGGGAGAGTGGGGCATCCAGGGGAAGTGGGAGGAGCCTGGGCTGGGAGCCGGGTGAGCTGGGTCTCAATTCCAGTCCTGCGTGTCACTCATCAGGAGACACTGCAAGGCCTGGGCCTTTCTGGGTGTCTCAGTTTCCTTGCTGGCAAATGAAACACCTCACCTCGGCCCTAGCCTCCTCGGAGAATTATGGAAGGTGGGGAATGAGAATAGATGTTCTGTAAACTCCAGACGCTGAGTGAGAGAAGCAGAGTGGGCCTATGCAGAAACCAAAAAGGGGGCCCGAAGCACTCCCTTCATGTCTTTTTTTCCTCCCTCCCCCGGCCCTTTTGAGGAAGCACCACAGTAGGCTCAGCTGCTGCAGAAAGGCCTTTACTGGGCAAACGGACGAGTCTCAGGCCAGTGGGTCAGGGTGAGGGGTGAGGGCACATCCTCCGAAGTAGCAGGGATGGCATCCCTGCCTGCGGGCTGCAGCCTGAATGCACTAAGGGCTGGCCCTTCAGACAGGCTCAGGGGAGGTCCGCCACAAGGGCTTCGGGCCCCTCCTTCATGGAGACGCCACTCCTGGCGTAAGAATGTGGCCCTTGCGCTCACGTCTGCCTTGGCTGCTCAGGGAACACTATGGGGTGGGGCAGGGGGCTTGGGAGGACCCTTCAGGAAGGAGAGAGGCTGGACAGTGGCAGATCCAGAAACTTCTGGGCACTTCAGTGGTGGTATTTAGAGGCAGTGGGAGATGCTGGCCCCAAAGCTGAGGTCCAGATAGAGCAGAATTGGATCTAGAGCTGGTTTTTCTTTTGGGCTCTGCTGAAAGTGAACTGTTATCACTGGAGCAGAGAACTGGAGAGAAAAGGGTATTCTCGCCCTCTCCACAGCACACAGCTGTGGGCACACATTGGTACACGTTCCTGGGCATTCAGGTAGACACACACAGCTGTACACTTGGGTGCATTCACACACACCTGTAGGCATGTGGGCAGACACCCACGTGCACAGCAATACACATAATTATATGCACACTTTTGTGTCGGGCTGGGGCCTTGTATAACAGGACAGGGTCTATGGTGGGAGTGTGGCGTGGCTGGAGAAATGGATTCCTTCCCGAACAAGAGTCCCTCCCCAGCCCTGCGTGGTGGATGTGGGCGGGGCAGGCCTCAATTACTTCCCACTGAGCTCTAGGGCTGTCTTTTGCTTCAGGTAAGCCAGGATGTCCATCTTGACGTTGCTGACCGTGGTCCGGTGGTACCAGCGCATGATGGGTTTACCATCTGGCCCCACCAGGAACTTCTCAAAGTTCCAGCGGATGTCATGGGTCTTCATGGGTTCCCAGAAGAGGCGTCTAGGTGAGCCCAGGAGCTCCGAGGTGGGAGGACAGGAATTCTGGAACAGGGATGAGTAATGTTAACCCTGCCTCAGGCCCCTCCCACCTTCCTCCCTGGGGCAAGAGAACAGCCTGATGCAGAGAAAAGAGCACCAGTTTGGGAGGTCAAAGACGATCTCAGAACCGTCTTTGGCTTTAGCAGATTGTAAGACCTTTAACTTGTCCCTTCTGGGGCCTGAGCCTTGTTTGTAAAATGGGCTGATGAGATTCTAGGGTGTGAAAAGCTCTCTAGTTGGAATGCTAGATGATAAGATATTCCTGATAGCCCAAGAACGGGGCAGGGTGGCACAGGCCTCGTCTCTGCCTGACCGGAGCCCAGAGCGGCTTTGGCCCTGTCCAGAGCCAGTGGTAGCTAGGTAGAGCCACTCCCACAACGGTGGCTGCGCACTCACCTTCAGGAACGTGTAGATCTTCTGCTCTTTCTCTCCGTTCACATCTCCTTTTTCAAAGAGTTGGAAATTGGGGACAAAGCCCCCACCTGGTCGGACATGCCTACGAGGAATGTTCTTAGGTGGGTCCCATGGTGATGGATGGGCACAGGGCTCAGAAATGAAAGGAAGGAGCGGAACAGGGCAGGGGGTGTTGGGAATCTAGGTTGGATTCTGTAGGGGGCAGTGGGAACCGGTGAATACTGAATGTGCATAGGTGTAAGGTGGGTCTGCAGCCTCTCCAGTTTGGTACCTTGTCAGTGACCCCTCCCCCTATGTGCACCCCCCTCCTCCCATAATGCACTCACAACCAGTCATTCCCGTCCCTGTCCCTCTCCTCTCCCCTCTTCCCCTGATCACTAATGAGGTTCCTGGAGAGGGAGAGGAGTTCTTGGGAGCTGATGCAAGAGATGCCTGGGCTGGGACCTGGGGTTGGCTGTGCTGGAGGAGCTTTCTCTGGACACACGGAGCACTCACTTGAGGGAAGGTAGGATCTCCGAGTTCTCTCCTGGCTCCTGTTGTCCGAATTGGTTGCTGGGGAAGCCCAGAATGACCAGACCAAATGGTGCAAGCTCTTCCTGTAGTGCATTCAGTTCTGGGCCGGGGGAGAGAGCAGAGACCGGACAGCCTGGCAACGAGCCCTGCCTCATCACACCGCCACCTGCTTGCCCAGGGCACAGCTGAAATCACTGAGGCCTGACGGGGGGCTCGCCAGGGGTCACTCAGTGAATGTGTCAGTGCTGGGGTCCGAGTCCCATCCTCCCGACTCTAAGCCGGATGGGTTGGAGGTGTGAGGGGGAAAGAAAGGTAACGTAAGCTAGTCACCTGGCCATGGCAAAAGTCCCCCACCTGGGCCAGGCTCCTTAAGGACTCAGGATTGAGTTTCCTGGAGCAAAAACTATCCATCCCTGGGAGAAGGCAGAGGGCTTCCCTGGGGTTGGGTGAGGCCCTCGCGGCCCTCCCGGACTCGGAATTCAGGGATCCGAGGGAGGCCCCGGCCCAGCTCCCTCAGTGGCCCCTGGCCTCCTGTACAAGGCCAGTACCCAACCCAGCTCCCGCACAAACGCGCTGCTCTATCCCAGGGGCCTGACAGAAGCACTGTAGACAGAGCGCCCCTGACCACTGGGACCTCCAGCCGCTGTCGCTCTGCTTGCAGGAATTCGCCTGTAATTGCCAGGCAGGATGTTCAGATTGCCTTTGTCTCCTGCCAGCCCCTCGCCGCGACCCAGCAGCCCACTGTGCTCAGCTTGGGGGTGGTGTCCTTCATGATCCCTCTTTACCCTGCCCCAGCTAAAAGGAAAGGAGGGGGGACACTAGAGATCACCAAGCCCCCGTGAAAGGGCCTCAACCCTATTGCCTGCTTTCCAGACGAGCCGAGAAGCGCCGAGGGCGATGGGCTGAGGGCAGGTGAGGAGCTCTCAGCAAGACGAAGCTACCAATTCTTACTCCAGGGAAAGGACACTGGACACAAACCCAGTCTCCTCCATCCCTCTGCTTTTAGGGCAGGTGCGGTGACCGGGGATGAAAAAGGAAAACAGGGAACCTTCTAGAACGTTTCCGAGGCAATCAAATCTCAGGCTTAGATCACCATCTTCACAAAACCATGGAACACAGAACTGGGGACACATGGTTTGGAACCTCATGACCATGGTCACCCCTTCCCCCTTGCACCAGAAAAGCACCTGTGATTGAAATATTCCCAACTCTGCAGCCTCCAAATAAAGCAGGGGAGGCGGGGTGGGCTCTTACCAACGTACTGGCCCGTCAGGCCTCAGTAGCTGGCCACGTTGACGAAGAGGACGTATTTGCCAGCATACTGCTTGAAGGGGATGTACTCCTCCCCGTTGAGGGTGAGGGCTCCGTACTCGAAGATGGTGCCACTCACGTCAGGATAGCAGTCCGTCTGCAACAGACCCAGCGCCAGGGAGCGGTTAGAGCTGGAAGGGAACTGGGATATCTCCATTTCAAAGATCAGGAGAGATGCCAAGACACCTCCAAGCTTTGGAACTAGACTGGAACCAAGGGTTCCTTGTGCCAGGGAATGATTATGGAAGAACTTAGCATGCTGCTGAGCGCTATGGAAGCCTAGAGAATGACTTATTGTAATCATTACCTCACAGCACATGTCGATTTATAAATATTTACCAGGTCCCGAGGGAGACTGCCCTGGTGCCGGTGGTTGTGTTACTGGATGGGCTGAGGGAGGAGACTGGGTGGGTGGCTGTTGTAACAACCCAGGCAAGTGATGGCGAGGGCCTGAACTAGACCATTGTAAGGGAAGACCTGAGCAGAGAGAAGTAAGTGGAGGGATGGACAGGGGTGATTCAGAGATTCCAAACCTGGAGGACTGGAAAGCTGAGGCTGTCGTTACAGGGATGTGGGAGTGGGCGCCAGGATTGGGGACAGACCTGCCATGAGGATGAAGGGCAAAGAACAGCGGCTCACATTTATTAGACGTCCCTGCGAGTGAGCAGTTGGGGTGACGACCCTCGTGCCTTCCTCTCTGCCCAACTGCTGCTCCATGACAAGTAGGGACAGAGCCATGGACTGCGAGTCAGTGGACCTGGATTCCATGTCCAGCTCTGCCACTCACTCACTCCCTGTGTGGTCCGGGACTGGCCCTTTCTCTTCTCTGGCCCTCCATTTCCTCTTTTATAAAATGAGAACCTTGAACTGGACCAGCTATTCTCAGCCACGATGGCTTGAGAGCGTTACATCAGCGGGATTACTGCTAGCCAGCGGGAGATTGCGTTTGACTCCGCTCCGCTCCTCCTTCTTTTCCGGCCCAGATTACAAAAATCTGCCTCTGCTCCAGAAAGGGCGTCGTGGCAATAATGACACAGTCAGCAGGTGGGCTGGTCGTGATGGGAAAGAAAAGAATTTGCCGCTATTGTATCAGGTAATCTCTAAGGTGCTTCCTGGCCCTGACTACCTATGAGAGGTGGGAAGGCAAACTAACCGAGAAAGATGAAGACAGGTGATTGGAGTTTCAGAAGCAAATCCACACCCTCTCTTCCCATCAGTCCTAGAAGACTTGCTGTCAAGGTGAGGTACCTCCTTCGCTCAAACGGGTGAAGGGAACCATCTGGACTGGCAGGGCGTGGCTCCCGGAGGGTGAAGAAAAGCCAGCTCTGCCTTGAAGATGCCACAGGCCTGTTGAGCCAGGTGAGGCAGGGATCCTCCATCCCCTGAGAGCCGCAAGCTCTCTTGGCTTTGGTACAAATTCCCTGCTTTACATGAGTCTAATATTCCACACTCCATGACTTGGTGGATGCTAACGGCAGGCCTCAGACCAAAGCCCAGCGTTCCTCCAGCCCCTGGGCCTCCGTGGCCCCAGCTGCGGTCAGTTCCACTTCAAAACACAAACAGCAAAGGGCACAATGACCATAGCCCAGCTGGTCACAGAGGCCCAGCAGCCGGAAGGCAAGGCCTCCCTGCACACCTCTCCGCCTCCTCCACCCTGCCCTGACTGGAAAACACACTCTGGGAAATGGAGAGGGAAAAAAGCCAAGAGGTTGTCCAAATAATGAAAGCTCATAAACAACAGGCAGATCCACTCTGGGCGTAGTAGCGGGGGTGGGGGCGGGGCAATGGGCGTCTCCTCTGTTTAGCTTTTAGTCTTTGCTGGCTGTGTAGCCCTGGGCAAGTCACTTTTACTCTCTGAGCCTCTCCAAAATGGCTGTGAGAATCTGTTGGCAGGTCACACTGTGCTGAAAGCCTCTCCGAAAGATATCCCCACATCAAGGGATAGTGATTATTCTGCCCGCAGCAAGGGCAAAGGGCCTTGTTGTTCCCACATTATTGTCTAGATGGCAGGGTGTCCCCAGCAGGAGGGACCAGACCAACGCGGGGGGTGGGGGTGGGTGTCAGAGGGTAGCCCAGGGTCAGGGAAGCCATGGCTTGCACTCACCACTGCAGCCCAGTTCTCATGTGAGCCCCTGTCCCTCGTCTGGGCCCCTGGAACCCCAGAGCCCTGCACCTTCCACGGGGGAGGCCAGACCAGAGGAGACGGAGGGAAGAGGCAGCGGGGGTGCCTCGATCCTCCCCTACCCTTGCCAGACGAGGCAGGAGAGTTCTGATGGGGAGAGCGGGAGGCGGGTGGGGGCTCCGCCAGGACCCCGGCTGGCTGGGGCTGCTGGGCTTGTGGCTTTCTCCTCTCCCATCTCACCACCCCCATCAATGCAGTGCTATGTAAGGATAACTTGACTGAGGGCAGGAGACCTGACCCCTGGGCCTGGCCGTGCCTCTGTGCCTGCTCCTCTCCCCGCTCCTCCATTAGGAGATGGGGTCAGATTCAGTGCTGTCTTGAGGGCCCTTCAGCTCCGTCAGCCTCTGGTTCCATGATTCTCTCTGCCTGGTTTAGTCACCTAGAAACCAGCGGTTACTAGGATCCTGTGCACGTCAGCAGTTGTTACTGTCTCCAGCATCTGCACAGCCCTTTCGTAGAGCTAGGACAGGGAGTCCGGGCAGCCTTAAGCTGGCCTGCAGCAGGGGCACAGCAAGGAAAGGAGAATTCCCTTTGTCCTCCAGCCCATGCCTTTATTGGGAGGAGGCAAACATCTCTTTGGGGCCATCACCTTCGGTCTATCCCATGCTCCACATGCCCCACCTCTTGGCCCTGGGGTGGGGGTAGGGTAAGCAGTTGAGTCCTAGAACCATTAGCCAACAAGTCCTAGCGAGTAGCATCTGATATAATCATACCTCACCCTGAGACTTTTCTAGACCATACCCACCCTGTTCTCTCTGAACCCCCTATTCCTTCCCAGAGTTCTGCAGAGAACACACAGCTATGGCACTGTTCTTGGGGTGCGTGTTGTTACTTCCAGCCTCCCTGAGGGAGGGCCCAATCTTCCCTTCTCTGGCTCTCCCCAAACTGAGGGTATAGGTCTGACTCCATGGTGCTGACCTGCCGGTGGTCTGTTCCCACCTCACTCCACACCCTAATCTTGAAATCAGTCCCATTCCTGCTCTGGAAAATGCCACTTCAGTCGGAGATTATGAACAGGTCTGGATACAAAGGAGGAGGCTTGACAGCCATCTAGTCTAGGCTGACTCCAAGGATGGACACACTGAATGGGGTTTCAGCTGAGGACAGGATAGGGGATAGAAGCAGACAGAAGGAACCCTGTGCTTGTAATGGGCTTCCTGAGCAGTGGATAAGATTTTGGAAACAGAATCATAGACTCTTAAGATCTCAGAATAAAGATGTAGAAGATACTAGAAACCCAGAGGATCAGAGCTTCCCTGCAGCTTACACAAGCATGGGGTGCATGTGTGTGTGTGTGTGTGTGAGAGAGAGAGAGAGAGAGAGAGAGTGTGTGTGTGAGAGAGAGTGAGAGTGTGTGTGTAGGTTGGAGACGGAAAGCTCTCTCTTTGGGTCTTTGCCCAGCTTCTGCCTCCCTATCCTGGGGAAGAGGGGAAGTCTACAGGGCCTGCCTTGGCATACACGATCCACGGAGATAGGCGTGCTGGGTCATCCTGGCCTAGCTAAGGGTCACACAACTGGCTGGGGAGAGACCGAGGCGCAGGAACATTCTGCTCTCCTGCTGAGCCGGCGTCCCCAGCTTGCTCCGACTACCAGGTGTGCTCAGGCCAGTGTGGGCAGCAGGTGGTGGGTGGGGAGGCTGCCCCAGAGCAGGAACCCCTTCAGGGAACAGTGTGTGGATTTTGCAGCTTCTCCAAGCCTCCCTGCTGAAATCATCAGCTCCCTTGGGCCACTGTCCCCCCCGCCCCCCATACACCTCCTGAGGGTGGATAAACAGGCCTCGAAAGGAGCAGGGACCTAGTCAGGGTCCTGGATGCAGTGCAGTGTTCTTTCCGTCACAGATGTCTGCTTCTTCTACCAATGCCCCAAATCCAAGTGCATTTCTACCTGCGTTTCTTCTTGAGCTAGAAGAACCCCCAAGGCAGTTCTTCAAAACAGCACCCCCCACCCCAGCTGCAATTATCCCTCCCTTGCTCCTGGGGCCTGTCAGTCTCCCTGGGAACCTCGCTGCCAACCAGGTGCCCAGGCTCTAGGCCCTTTTCTGTGGCCGCACCCCCTTCAGGTCTGACTGGAGGGCAGTAGCTCGGGTTCAGAGGTGGCATGGATGTAGCAAGGCGACCCTGAGATAGCCTGGGGGAAGAAACTGCAAACTCGGGGAGAGGGACTCTGCTCCCCTCTTCACTCTGCCCACCCTGGGCACCCACGTCTCCCACATATGGAACTGCGAGGAGACCGATGGTCTGGGGTGCGGGTCCCCCCGCACGAGAGGGAAGCAACCGGAGTATAGGGCATCCCTCTCACCTAGGTGTCGCCCTCCTTGGGGGGAGCCCAGGAAGAGGGGTGCCTCGCCACCGAGGATTGGACGCCTGCGGGCTATACGCGTTCCTCGGCCCCCCACCCCGAAGGCTCACTCACCTTCGACTTCTCCTGCCCCCGGCTCGGCGGGACGAAGCCGGCCAGGAGCAGGGACAAAAGGCACGATGCCCGGAGCAGCCGGGCCATGGCGGGCTGGAGGACGTCTCGGGCTCGCGCCTGAGACGCTGTCCGATCCCGGGCCACCGTCCGACTGAGGTGTCCGGCGCTCTCAGCCACCTTTCAAGCCCTCAGTGATGACCAATCCGCGGCCGGCCCGGAGTCCTTGTAGCCAATCGCAGGACGGCTGGCGTTTCAGGGGCGGGCACGATTTAACCTCGTCTCCCCCTCCCCGAGCTCGGGGCGACAGTGACGTAAGCAAGTCTGGGCAAAGAGGTGGGGAGTCGGGTCCTCGTGCACCTGGAAGGCACCCCCCCCCCTTCTTTTGGCTCTCAAGTGCAGGAGGAGACAGGCACAGCGCCCTCCAGCACAGCCAGCGCTCTAGACAGCACCGAAGAACTGATGGGAGGGCTCAGTCCTCGGGCGCACTTCATATTCGCAGGCTCTAAGCACCCCGTGGTGTTCCCACTTCCCTCCTGCCCCCATTCCGGTTGAAGGTATGTTGAGGATTTAAAATGTCAGCCAGATCGGAAGTTAGACTTCCAGGAACATTTATTTACTCTGTGTAGGTTTAATGTTTAAGAAGAACCAAACTGGTTGCCCTAGGATTTTGAATGCAGCCCGCTCTTAGGAGGACTTCGGGGTGCCTCAGCTGCTTTGGGAGGAGAAAATACATTTGCTGCCTGTATAGTCTGAACCAATGGCTTTCCCTGTCTGGGCCTCAGTTTCCCCCCTGTGTCATGGGAGTGGTTGATGATTTCTAAAGCCCTGCTTGTTCTGGCTAGATGACTTGCTCCTAAAATAAGTGACAGACCAGGAGTCCCTCTAGAGTAGGGACCATAATTACCACCTGGAACAGAGCCTAGAATATAACAGGTGCTTAATATTTGCTGCATTGCTCAATCAGTGAATTCATTTCCCTGCTTGGAGATACCGATCATCAGATCAGGCAGCTCCAGGTCTGTGCCGTCCAGGTATGATTCTGTCCACAGATGGGGGGCGCGCATTGAGGTCAGTGCTTCCCACATGTCTCACTACCTGGAAAGTTTGTGATACAGATTTCCAGACCCCAGTTCAGAGTCACAGCATTAGAATCTTGGGGGCAGAGGCTGAGATTCTGCCTTCAGACGGGTTCCAAAGGGGATTCTGGGACAAGTGAGTCTCCGTCTTCTCATGGAGAAGTACCTTGAGATACCATGTTTTTATTATGATTTAAGACGTGTTCCTGTGGGAGTTTGAGAGGCCAGTCTCCAGTCCCACATTTTCTGTGAGGCCTTCCTTACCTCAAACCACAGCTTGTTGAAACAAAGGGAATCTTGAATGCCAGCCAGGAAGTCTGTGAATGAGTTAAAGCACAGACACATCTGAACAGTGGCTGACACAGAGTATGTGCTCAATAAATGTGATTTATTCAACCACCCATTTCACTGAAGCCCGGGGGCGGGGAATAATTTACCCAACTTCCCGTAGCAAATAGGTGGCAGTGAGGAGACCAGAACCCAGGTCTCTAGACCCCAGTCTCGGGCCCCCTTCATTTTGTTCTGTCATCTTTTGATTGTCATATGTACCCAAAGGTACAAACATCCATATGATGATGAGACCTATCAGTCTGTCAGAAATCCACTGATCATTTGTATCTGTAGCCATTGAATGACCCTCAAAATGTGTGCCTCGCATCACGTTAACACCATGAGAGATGTCAAAGAGTTTTCTGGAAGTTATAATCTCTGCTCTCAAGGTATGTTCACTACAGCGAGGACTCTGATGAGGCCAGTGGGCACCTAGGATGGGGCACGCTGAGCACCTACGGTCATGCGCGTGCAGAGCTGGTGTCTGAGAGTGAGCACCTCCTGAAATTTTGCGCCCTGTGTGCCTGACTTGCCTCACCCTAGTCCCAGCCCTGCTGTTCAGTTTCTTTGGCGGAAAAGAGATGGCCTTAAAGGCCTGGGGCCTGCCGTGGGGCCATCGACAAGTTACGTTCCTTCTCTGGGCCTCAGCGGGTCCATCTGGTACACAAGGGTCTTTGACAGCCTCCCGGCAGTGGTCTCCATGGCCCTGCAGAGCCACGGGTCTCAGGAAGGCCTGTCTGCGCCACACTCAGGAGTCCTGGTCTCATGGGCCGTGGAGTGAGGGCTGAGGGGAGCGCAGCCTGGCCCTGAGGAGGCCTTCAGGCTGCGAGATGGCTTCCAGAGGAGGCCTGAGCCTCAGCGCAAAGCGCAGGAAGGCAAGGAAGAAAACAGCACTCCTCAGCCTTCCCACCAGCAGCGTTTTAAGCACAGTTTGGTCGATTTGTTCCCAGGAACCCTCTGTTTTGAAAGATGTTGTTCTCCACTAGGCTGTTTCCTCTTGCCCTCAGGATAAAGTCCAAATTCCTTCGTGCTTCAGGCAATGTCCTCAAAGTCCAGTGGCTTCCCGCCTTTCGCCACACCCCTCATGCCCTGCATCCTGGCTGTGCTGGACTTCAGTCTCTTGTCTCCGGGCTTTTCCTCTCTGTGCCTAGAGCTCTCCGCTGTCTCTCTTGAACAGGTCCTCTCCTACCGTTTCTCAGGTCTCAGCTTCAGGGTCACTTCTTAAGAGTTTGGTTCAGGGCTCCCTATACAGTCCCTTTACTATAGTTCAGGTCCCCTTAAGGCTTCTAGAACATTTGACACTTTCTATATTAACCCTTTGTGATGCTTTATTGTCATTTCTTGTCTGTTTTCTACACTAAATCATAAGGCACCCAAAAGGTTTATTCCCAGTACTTTGCACAGGACTCAATAAAAACCTATTAAATAAATAAAACACTATTTCGCCTGAAGAATAAGCAGAGCTTCAGGTCAGCACCTGTTAACAAGTTTGAGCCCACAAAACTGGTCTGATTCCACCTGATAGGAAGACTCACAAGCCAGGCGAGTTATGCTGAGTGAGCTCATCAGAGGACAGTAAGTGATTGGCATTGGGTTTTGGGAAAGGAGGGGTGGAGGCAGATGCTGTAGACACATCGGAAGCCAGTTTTGCGGACAACCTGAGAAAGTGCTCTACTGCATCCCCCGCAAGGGGGCACCCACCCTCTTCACCCTCTTTTTTTGAGACATACAGGAAGCTCACTACTTACCAGCATACATGCTTGGAGGGTGAATAGGGACTGCAGATGACTTGGAAGGGGGTTCAAAAAGGTGTTGATGTTCTGTGTCTCCAAGGAACATAGAACATGAGGTAATAAACAGAAAAAGCTGTAAAAACCAAAACAATGGAATCCAGCCCCACCATTGTTGAGTAAGTGCCGGACTCAGTGATGGGGTCAGCCGGCCCAACGAATGGACCCCGATGGAGGCAACAGCAGGGAGGCCCAGCCCCCAGCGCTTCAATGCCAACTTCAGCTAGTGGCCCTGTTTTGCGATCAAAACAGGGCTGCAGAACCCAGGTAGGGCCGGACGCTTGTTTTCTGAAGAAGGGGCAGAAACTGAGGGGAGAAACTGAAGAACTGAGAGGCAGTCAGGAGGCAGGGAGTCTATCAGGAGGCGAGGTGGCTAGAACTCTGCTTTGGAAACCAGTGTCGTCCAAACTCTGAGCCTCAGTTTCCTCCTCTATGGAACAAGGAGTCAGGCAAGTTGATCTCGAGGGTTAAGCTTTTGGGTGATAAGAGTTACAGCCAGCATTCACCCAACATCCTATACGCACCAGGCACGGTGTTAGATTTGTGCACTTTTTGAAGTTTCTGCACCCTCATGAGGCAGCTAACATTATTATCTCTATTTTACAGATGAGGAAACAAATACATGGAGAAGTTAACTCTATTTGCTTAAGGTCACACTGTTGGTAGGTGGCAGAACAAGGATTCTGACCCGGATATACTGTCTCCAGAGTACTTGCCAGTATCTCTAAGCCTGGGTTGTCAACATAAATGGGCAGCCACTAAATGGATGGCTAGTGAGCACATGAAATATGCCTAGTCCAAATCGAGATGTGCTATCAATATAAAGTACACACTGGTTTTTGAAGACTTATTATGAAAAAAAAAAAAGTAAAAATATCTCAATAAATCTTTATATCATTATATGTTGAAATGTTAATATTTTTATATATTGGGTTAAAGAAAACATTCTTCTTGAAATTAATTTCACTTTAAAAAAATTTTAAAGCATGACTTCTAGAAAATTTAGAATTATACATGGAACTGATGTTATATTTCTACTGGATAGCGCTGGTTTAAGCTATTTGTTCATAAGAGATCAGTATAGGGTTATAGCCTCTGTGAAAATAAGAGATCAGTATAGGGTTATAGCCTCTGTGAAATCTAGGCTTGTCTCCTGTCTGAGTTCCCCCAAGACCACCTCCAGGTTCAGTGACTCACTAGGAGGACTCACAGAACTCAGCCTGTGATCATACTCAAAGCAATGATTTATTACAGTGAAAGGATACAAAGTAAAATCAGCAAAGGGAAAAGATGCATGGGACAAAGTCTAGAAGAAACGAGGTACAAGCTTCCAAGAGTCCTCTCCCAGGTGAGCCATGCAGGATGAGCTGAATTCCTCTAGCAACAAACTGCGACAACACATGTCAAGCGCTGTCTACCAGGGATGCTTGTTAGAGACTCAGCGCCCAGGACTTGTGCTGCAGGCTAGCCATGCGGGCATCATCTGCCTTGCATGTAATTGTACACTCCCAGGAGGAAAGCAGGTGTTCAGCACAAACCACATTGTTGGTACAAACAGTTGAGGCACAGTGAGCTGCTCTTATCAGTTCTGGAACAATAGAAATGCTCTTGAAATCAAAGTTCCTGATTGCCAACCAAGGACCAACGGCACAAGCAGATCTTCTAAGAAGAGCAGTCTCAGGCCTGCTTGCTTTTCTTGTCTCCTGGTTTAATTTCAGCAGGACTTGGCCTGGCAAATACGGTTTTGCACATGGTATAATGTAATTAATGACCCCCACTCCCTCCAATGTCTGCTTTACTGGAGGGAGAGTTATAAAAGGGGGAAGAGGCCCTAGAAACTATCTCATTCAACCCTCTCATCTGAGAGGTTGAGGCTCAGAGAGACTGAGTGATCTGTCCAGGCTCCCACAGCAAATACAGGTGTCCGTAAGAGTTGGATCTAGGCTGGATACAGTTCCAAGCTTTCAGTTAAAAA